GGATGGTCGAAGCAAGCAGTTTCCCCCCGATAAGGAATATCCATTGTACTTTTATGGCGCTGTTTTGCTGTTCAGAATTTCCTGGAAAGAGGAACGGCTGAGACAGTGTTTGTCTGGGAAAAAGCAAAAGACAACCACATTATATCCTCTTCTCACACACGGCTTGAGGTTATTTGAGGGAAGTCTAACCTCATAGAGTATGGTAAGACTATTTCCCACATGGCAGGTGGGATGTTGCTGTGTTGTTTTTGCAAGTTCCCTTAAGCTATCAGTGTCATATTCATAAAGTAATTCCGCTTCTGAATGAGCTGATTCATCATTTTTAACAAACCATAACTGCTGTGTCATCCAAAACCTTCAGAGGATAAACATTTCATAACAATGATTTTAAATAATTTGGACATTTTGAAGTGGAAGTGGTTTCACCATAAGGTTGCCAATAACAGACCCTGAAGCTGTAACAGAAATGATTGAATCAACACCAAAACTCTCCTATCTATAAGTGCAAATGCTAAGTGATTTGTGAATATTCAATATACACTGGCCCAATTTAAACTGTGGACAAAAGAGAGCTGAAAAGAATACATCACCATAAAAATCCACGCTAGGACACAGCACTATCTTTTCTCCTTTTCTCTTCAAATTCACTGTTATGCTCTATATCAGCACTCAGTGAATGACTCGTCGATTCAAATTACTTGGTCAGAACTAATTGTTGTATAATTTGTGATAATTTGAATGGAACTGCAGTCTCATTCCAATTGGTAAAACTGTGATTAAAAGTAATTGAATTGAAAATGTCACCTGATGTTCTGTTAACCTACTGACATAGGCTGATACAATTATTTGTTTATATCTTTATATTATATGCTTTTATATTCATTTTATGTCTTTTTCATGTGAAGCACTTGGTGCATGTAAGTTCTTTGTAACACTGTGCTGCATAGCCTACCCTTTATGAAAGGGGCTATAAAAAATAAATGTCATTATTATTGCAACTGATGAACACCAAGTAATTCAGTTTCTCCTTTAATAATAATAATATGCATTTTTTTTTCAATCCCACATTTTTAATCTGGATAGCTTTCCCCCCAGAGGAACATATCATTTCTTCTACTAGTCTATACTCTTCTAGTCTAAACGTCTGAACTCAAACTCGCAAATCTGTCTCTGTAACGCAAATCAACATCATCTTATTTTGGACTTCCCCACATGATTAGGCTGTAGAACTACGCCTTCAGACTTTACATCACAGTCTCTCAACGCCCTGTCTGAAGTCACATTTAATTTTGTCAAACTGCTGTGTGCAGGCGCTTGTAAACTGCACACGGATTTACAAACTTCTTTCTTTCTTCACAGAAAAACCAAAATTTCACATCCGTAAAGTAAGTCTAATTTATCTAGATTCAAGATTTGTTTCGCAGTGGACGTTTCAGCTTCCACTGTGTAAAGTTGTATTCATTGTGCTTTTTTACTAATCCTCACCCAGTTTATGAATTGCAAATCAGAGAGTAGCCTACAGATTATGTCTTTCTTATTCTCTCAGATCACCCCGCGGCTCCGCAGGATAGCTCTACATTAATGTGTAAAATAGCTGGAGTGCGCCTTTAATCCAGACAAACACATAAAAAGTAAACCGGAAAGATAGAAAAGGTAACTATGGGCTATGGGACATGATTAGACTCGGTAAACAACAGCCCACCAAGCCATATAATAGCTTCATAACAATGGTCTGAATGGATTAGCCAATTTGAAATAACCGGGGCAGCTCAGAGATTTAATGTGTGTTATTACAGCTGCTTCCACTCAATGTCTGTACAGAGCAAAATAGAGCACCTATTTTGACATTAAAATGTTGTCTACTGAACTGTTTGCACCACAGCGCAGAGTAGTGATGCACTCCGTCAAATGCCTAGATGTGAAAACACGCTGGAATAAGAGGTTTTCGACATGTGTGCCGTGTTCTTTAAAGCCAGGTAAGTTATGTATTATATTATATTATATTATATTATATTATATTATATTATGGCCAGTTATATTATATTTTCCCATTAACATAGGGTATGAAATTACTCCTAATTGTGGATATGATGACAACGGAGGGCGACACGAGAGCCCCCACACACAGTGCAAAGTCAACACTTTCAACAATGGCAGCTGGTTTTATTGCAAACCTTGTACTTTATGTGCACCGTATGCGGTTTTAAAGCCCTGCAGCCAAACTACTGACACCGAGTGCCAAGACAAAGGGTAAGAAAGAATTGCGCGTCCATTACTCAAATGATCTGGCTCAGTAACAGATCAGACCACACATCAAAATTAACACGTAACACGAGGCTATAATAGCCTATGTACATTTTTTTGAGTAGAAGCCGATGATAGCTTTTTTCTCTCTCTGATTTTCTATAGAGAGCGGACGGCCGAAGTCCCTGTCCAAGTGAGTACGCTGAGCATTACACTGGACGCTATTATTTTCATGGCATTTTGAATTGGCTCACATGTTGTCACTTTCTCCTCAGGAAGCAACAACATCTCTGTATGTCTCATCGCCAACGGTAATTCATATTAACTTTATCATCCTTTACAGAAGAAAATGATTCTATCCGTGTGCTGTATAAGAGATGACAGGAAATGATTAGGTCACCTCTCATTCTAGAGAAGGACATGAGCCCACGTAAAAAAAAAAAGAAAATCCCCACATTCATGGTTTGAGTCATGTGGGTTTCAGAGGTAACTACCTTAGAATAGTTGTAATAGGTAGGTAAGTTATAACAGAAAAAACACTAGCCTAACTATTTTTAACAAATGCTGCGTCACCGGATTTCAGCTGCACACCAGGGAGCAGCAGTTTCAGAAAAACTCAAACCTCTGTCATTGAGATCACCTGTTGGAAAAAAAAAAGAAAAGAAACGAAAAAAAGAGCTCACCTGTTGTCCCTATTCTGATGTTTGATGTTGAGTTGACTGAAGGTCCTGACCCGTAGCCTATGCATTGTGCTGCTGTCACATGATTGGCTGATTGGATAATTGCCATGATGAGTCAGCTTTGTGGCTATGTCCTCCAGCGTCCTCCTCTCTGCGCCTCATTCAGTCCCCCAGCGACCAGCAATCACATCTGGTCGCTGACCTCAAACAGGTGTGTCCATTTTGTTGATAACTGTGGCTTGACATGAAGGAGCTTTTTGCTGTTTGGAGGAAAAAACTCTCACCCCCCCACGGGGTGTGTGCAGTGTTCAAAATACTCAAAAGACCAGTGAATGTTCACACCAAAGAATTTAGTTAAATTTGTTTAGTAAATCTTTTCAGCAAGCAATGAACAAATACAGAATTCTGGATCAGATGTGTATTTCCCTAACCAATAACAAGTGTTGGTCAGTCCACAGTCTGATAACCTAACTTTCCCTGATCCAGTGTATTTATACAGATACAAACAAAGAAATGCGCATGGGCGTTTTGTCGTCTTCTGATTGGCTCTGCTGGCTTCCTCCTTCCCATCTGACTCCGACCCTAAGTGAAACCTAAAACTCAGCGCGCCAAAAAGAAGACAGTTAGGGCCTGATTTACTAAAGCTTTGCGTGCGTAAAAACGTGCGCAAACGCGACAGCACGCGCAAACACATGTTGATGCTGATCTACCAACCGGGCGCACCGAGGATTGCGTCTGTCAGTCGGGCAAAATAACACGCGCTATCCATTTTGCGCTTCTGCCTTCATGAATATGCAATATAGGCGTGCCTGCCAGAACGCGCAAAATATTGGGAGGAGTAGATGCAAATAGAATCATTTTGCGCAGGCAATGTGATTTACCAAACCTCAAATTAATTGCGCTGATTATTTTTGCGAATATATTTAGCACGTTTGAGAGTCAAGTCTTAGGCTACCTGGCACAGCCGTGCGCACAGATGGCTGCGGTCATTGTTGCAAGGAGGCGGCGTAGGCACGACAGGCAACGGAGAGAACGCATCTTTTCTGTTCGTGTCACTCTTTTTGGAATGGCAGAAGAAAAAATAATCGAGACATATCGGTTATCCGGCGATGCCATGATTGTCCTTTGAAAAAGAAAAAAACAAAAAAGTCATTCGTTCAGAGTTCAGAAAATCCTTAAATAATAAATGTTGCATCATAATGTCAAGTGTTTCTTGTTTGTGCTATTTTTACAAAACCAAAAACTCACATTTTTATGTACTAAAGCCCACTTTCTTTTAGACATAGGAAACATTTAGTTCGGCCCCAGTTCCTGTAATTTTTCCCTGAAACTTAAAACAAATGAAAACGCACACACTTCTGCGCCCCTGCTGGAACGCACAAACAAAAAAACCTTTTTGGGCAATTACGCTTCTCCATTGCACAGCTAAAGAACGTTCATGACGCACGTTCATGTCTTATGTGGTGTACCTGAATGAATTAAAAATATTCCCTCTATCCCAGTAATCTGCTCATCACAGAACGTCAGCTGCACCTGCTGTTCAATGGGAGACAGAGGGTCCTCCTCCGCCGGTCCTCCACCTGTTTTATTTGCCGATTTGTTATTCTGTGCGATTTTTTCCTTTGTTCTTCTACGAATGTCTTGCCACCTTTTCTTCATTTCATCCGGTGTTCTTTTGGTTTTCCCCACAGCATTAACCTTGTCAGAGATTGCCTCCCATATTGCGTTCCTCCTAATAACGGTTAAATTCCTTTGCTATAACTCAGAAATGTGCTTGTTTGCCTCTTGTACCAGCACCTCCAATTCCGGTCCAATTGGATCTGCTCGTTTGCATTCGCCACGGTGGACACCCTTAACTCGCGCAAAATCCTCATTTAAATAGGGCCGGCTCGATCACTTTTGCGCCTGTAGTCAACTGCGCTGTTAATCTAAGTAAATCACTCGCAATTGCGTGCGCATCTATCCGTGTGCGCACGCAATTTAGCGCTCTTTATTTGGGATCTTAGTAAATCAGGCCCTTAGTGTTTACACATAAATTACCACTTCTCTACCTCTGTTACCTCCGGCTGCCCCCCTACACATGCCCATAGAGTGGTCCTTATCAGTGGTTGTAAATAGTTTCCTTGAGGCAGATATTTAAACCACAACTCACCCTTAGCACCTAAATATCCACTAGTGTAAATCACTAAACAGTTTTAGGTTTAATAGCCTGAAATACTCCAACAGAGTCAAAACCACAACAGAAACAACAAATGAGATTCAACACAGTTCTTACAAACACTGAACAACCGACAACTAACAAATGTATTTTTTTATGATTATATACAAAATAAAGTTAACACAAGGCTCAAAACACAGCAAGCCAGAATATACTGTAACTGCAAAAAAGAAACAGAGGCAATAACAGGACAGTCTCTCATGTATAGTCACCTAATGAGATTTCACTTTTCATTTCAGTTTCAGACAAACCAAGGATCCTCTAACCCAGATGCAGAAATGACAGCAACTACCCTCAACAGACAGTCAATAGAAATTGCTAGTTCTAGTCTACTTTGTAAGTTAAGCATACACTTATATTACAAAACCACATTTCTTCAGCCTAAATTTAACAATTTAACATTTACTTTTTCTTCTATTTTTTGCAGGGGCAGTACCATTAGCTGTCCTGATTGCCATCATACTTGTTTCATCTGCTTTCATGATATACATGAAGCGGAAAAGAGGTTTGCAAATTGAAAGTAAAGGTTTAGACACAGATAAGTGAGCACAGAAATGAAGAGAAGTCTTCTGTGGAAAAACCAAAAGAATGGGAATCTGGCAGACATGTTATTATATAGGAATGTAATGTTAATGTGGGAATAATGGGGTCCATTTGACATTAATTTTGTCTTTCACACAGGCCAGCACACAGTATTGGTTTACAGCAGAAGTCCTTCATTCATCAGTGAAGGATTCCCTCCCCTCCGTGCTCCTGCTTGCAACAATGATCTGAAGGGCATTCTTAGTGAGTGAGAATTTGTTATTTCTATGTACAGCCAAACTGGACATCTGTGATGTTATCCTTTATTCATAATATCTCCTGGGACATTGTTAAGCTCCGGGGTAAGACGCGTAGGAGCGGTTTTATACAAACTTCTGTATGGCTGAAAAGTCTGTGAATATTTAAGGATCATGTGTTTATTGTTCTGCCATTAACAGAATCGAGCAGCAACAATGAACTGAAACCAGACTTGCAGCCAATGTAGACTGGTAGCTGATCAGCATATTTTGTGTACCTCATTATGTTTCTCACTTACATCACTGCACCAACAGCTCCAACAACACAAATTAAAATAAAGTAATTGTGAAAAAATAGACAAAATAAGGCCTTTTAACACCCACCATCTTTCTTCTGTAGGTTCTGAAATCCTGTCAGCACCTTTACAGACAGTTCTGGACAACCTTGATGTTTTGGAACAGTTGGTAATTTTGTTGGATCCAGACAGCCCCACAGTGAAAAACACCAAACATCTGGCATCCCACTGCTCCTTCTCCTCTACCTGGATCACTTACAGCTACTCTATGAAGGACAGTAAAAGCCCTCTGAAAGCTTTGCTGGAGGGGGTCACCAGCAGGTACCCTGACTGGACAGTGGGGCACCTGGCCAAGCTGCTCAGACAAATGCAGCGCAATGATGCCATTGCTGTCCTTGCCCAACTCAGACTGAACAAGATGGCCATGTAGCAGGCCTATTGAACTTGCGGCATGCAGGAAGACTCTGACCTGTCAATCAATTGTTTAATTATAAATACATTTTTTGCTACAAAGAAATTGTAAGGGGTGGTGGGGGGTGGTGGTGGTTAGTGTTGAAGTTTGCTTAACGATACAGTATCTTAATGCTGCCCATCCCTAGTTGTCTGGCATTAAAAGAATAGGTAAGTTCAGTTCATCTTGAACTTTTGAATTCTCTGTGCTCTCTTCTGTTTGCCTTTTTGTCACTTAAAACATGCTATGATGTAGCTTTGTAAGAGATGTCGGAATCAATCAAATTATATGCCAGACAGCTGACATGATGTGTTGTAGAAAACTATATGTTTACTTTTGTTAATATCGCAGCTTGTGCCACATAAAATCAAATGCAATATGAAAAAATAACCGTTTTGAAAATGTGGTGTCAAGTGTACATAATAAGAATAGCTTAAGGAAAAGTACCACCCCCGGGCCCTTAACTTTTCGGGAAATGTGGCGCCCTGGACTACTTAGTTGAATATCCCTGCCATATAGCATTCCTTTCCCTTGTGTCTGTTAAAAGAATCTTTCTACAATCATGAAAAATGTTTGAAATATAATATTGTAATATTACACTAGGTTCCTATTGCTGCACATTTATTATCTTTTTTAATAATAAAAAAATTGAGTTTGTTCAAACATCGTAACATCTTTATTAGGCAAATAACATTATAAATAAAAAAGTGCATAGAAAAATTAAACAGGTTTAGAAATATGTATACAAATATTTACAAACTCAGGGTTTATTTGTACATGTAACAAAGACGTAAATTTAAAGATCACATATTTTCTCATTTTTATGTCTTTTACACTTACTTTAAAATAACCCTACTATATATATATATATTATATATATATGTATATATATATATTCATTTATTTATTTATATATATATATATATATGTGTGTGTATATATAACATACAGCTTTCTTAACAGATTCTGGGAGAGATGGTCATGATAACTTCAGGTTTTGACTAGTGCTTTGCCATCCTTCATTGCACACACACACCGCGCATAAGATCTCTCAACACACACACACACACACAACACACACACACACAACACACACACACACACCACACACACACACACACACACACACACACACACACACACACACACACACACACACACACACAGGCTCTGCAGGACATTAAAATCAAGCTACTCTTAAATTATCATCCTCTCGTTTTGCATCAGTATTCCCAAACATCTGTCTAAACAGCTGAGGTAGAATCCTTGCAAGGAGTTGGGAGTGACTCTGCTCTTTTTGTCAGCTAGGTGATTGACACATGTTAATCTGGGCTCCATCCCAGTGATTGGACATGCAAAAAGGAAAGGGGATGAAGACAAAACATGATGGAAATTTGCTCTAATTTTGGAGCGAAAGGGGTTGAAAAAAAAAAGAAGATGATCATGGGCTTGGGAAGGCAAACAGTGCTCACTTTACTCCTGTGGCTGATTCTAAGACCGTCAGTAATCTATCATAACAAAAAATAAAAAAAATGATTTTTTTTTAATTTTTTTTTTTTTAAAATACCTGCTTTAGAACAATTTGTCATAAAGGCTTAAATGCATGACATAACTGCCCAAAATGGAAATTCAAGTAAATTAGTGAAACCAAGGACATCATTTGTAAACAATAAAAAAAAAAAAAAAAAAAAAAAAAAAAAAAAGGATACAAATGGGGGAGATCTCCTAATACACTAGACCGCCACCGTTTATACAAAGCACAACCTTTTACCATTAAAAGTATAAATCAAAACATGAATAAATATACAATTTAAACAGTGTGTGAATTCAATTAGCCTCATCAATGACAGCACTGAACATGGACTAAGAACAACGTTAAACATTATTTTAAGGTGCTGAGTGCATTCTCTCAGCTCCATTTCAGACTGACTTTTTTGCAACAGCAACATCTAGGAAGTCTGTGCACCGTGTTCTTAAAAAGCCTGGTGCAGGAGCTGAATGCACACACTCAGTGGCGATGCTTTATACCAGTGCCATCCCTGATTAAGAGATAAACTGTAGCAAGTTTCACAAAGATGAAGAGAATTTGTATGTTTGATGGTTATTTCTGTGCAACTGTAGGGCAGCAAAGTCTTATTGCAATAGGTAATGAGCATCTGCCATGAGAGTAATAAAATATATATTTAAAAAACGGATATTCACCATAACTCTTCACTTTTGGCTTGGGTAGTGTTTGCTACATACACTGTACATCAAGACAAAAAAGTGTCTTGTTTCCATCTTTATAAATATGACACTACTGACAGAAAATTTTACATTGCAATAATCTATTTTTAACTCCACACAGGAAGAGAAAAAGAGAAGAAAAACAGCAGACCTAAAGTCTGAAAACTAGCAGACACTATATTCCAATAACAGTAAGAGTACTGCTTGAGTGCATAAATTTAAGATACATGATCTCAGCAGGGTGAATAAACAGCTAAACAATTCCTGATTCGCAGGACATCTTAGTCCAACTAAAGACGCTGAAGACCTTTCAAAGCTTAGCACCATGGTTGTTCTGTTATTCACGAAAAAAAAAGTCTAAAAAGAAAAAATATTAACAACGTGAGAAGTGTTAACCGTTAGATAAAACGCACAAATAAAGGTGTGGGTGAATGTATGGCTCAATAACTGACTTCACCACTGCACGGATGGGGCTATAAATGTTCCCATCACTGGAGGATGGAGCATTTGTGATTACAAGTGTACTATAGACAGACACACCCCTCCCGCCTAGAAATGAATAAAAAGTATAAGGAATCCCTCAAATGCTAGCTATAGGTTTTCAGCAATGATTCAAACAGATAAGGCTTGACGTGTGTATCAAAGAAATTCTGTTGGAGTCGATCATACAGATCCAGGAGCCGCTCATATTTTAAATTTCCGGTTTAAATGTCTTGTTGTCCTGCCTCCACAATATTAACTGCTGGGGTGAGTTTGCTGTGCCAGCTGTACATCTGAACTCCTCACAGGCAGAAGAACCTTGTGAACACAAACTTCTCAAAAGTTAATGAATTTTCTGTGCAGGTTCTCTTCCTCTTATTTTCCGAACCATAAAATGTCCACATATCACTTCTAACTAGCCAAATGTTATTGACTGGTCTCATAGTGGCTAATTCCCTTGCTGTGTGGACTGCCCACCTCCTCCCCAAGCCCAATCCAGTGCCACCTTACTTTAAGGCTTACTAGTAAACAGGATCCTCCCCTTCTCATTCAAGTGATCGCTCAATTGAGGAAACGCCTACATCGCCGGGCCCCACAGTTGCAGTTGAGTTTGTTGCTGGCGTCTTCAATGGGGAACTTGTAGTCATAGGTGAGCTCCTCTCCCCTGTAGATCTTCCTAAGAGCAAAGATGACGATATGCTTCCGGCCTTCCACGTTGATCACTCGTGAGTAGCAGTTAGGTTCACAAGAGTGGTTGATGAATCTTGCTGCGTTGCCATGCATCGTTGCATCCACCACATCAAAGTCATCAATGCGGAACATGTAACAGCCAATACCCTGCAATGGCAAAATAAAAATAAAAACTGCATCCTCTAACCTTTCCCAATTTTAACCATCAATTACTGGATAACTGACCTACATTAGGATGAAACTGATAAAAAGAGAAGACCGACCAACCTTGCCATCGTAGTACTTCTCCCTTTTGTCAGTGAGCACTGAACGGATGACTATGCCTGCATATTCAATAACCATCTCCCCCGCTTCAATGTTCCTCTTGCAGAAAAGACCACGGCCATGGATAGCAGACCTACAATAGACACACATACGTCAGACAAGCTCATTTCCTGGGATGTTCAAGGTGGCAACAGTGTTGATAAGTCAACTGTGAGTCAGCAGCTAGTTTCTAGATATGAACCTTCCAAGAACTTTAGTCATAACAGATGCTCTACTGCATCAATACAATAAGCTCATTTATTGAGACACCGGGCTAGTACACTGACAAATCTTACATGTCAAGACGTAGTAAAAAACAATTCAGAAATCTCTGATCAGGTCAAAATTTTAATTTGACAAATACTTTTTTGGTTTAAAAAAACTGCTTACCTGCTGAATAACAATATTTTTTAAAAAGAACTATTTACAGTAAGACAACATGGCAGTAGACTCTCAGTCTTGTTTCAGAGATTTGGTGTGTAGCCTGGTTTTGCCCTTTGAGTTTTCCTCTTAGTCCCTCCCATCAAAATGAAACTGATGGAATACATGTGCAACAGCTTACACATTTGTGTCATCTTATTCATGGCATGTGAACATGCTGAAGTTTGGAGTCCTATCTTTGCTAAATACTAGCTTTTATCACAAAGAAGACAAGAGTTGCAAAAACATTCTTCTAGAATTTAAAACCAAGACCGCATCATATTTGGCAGTGTGCAGCTTTCCCCTCCCTTCTTTGATTAATATCTTCTTGCTCAGGCTCTACTATAACCACACACTTCCTGTTAGTACAACTTGTTAACATGATTACAACTTCTAGTTTGAGGAGCTCTGGCACTATTTTCACAGAGCATTTGTAAAAAGATGTTTAATTTGTCCCACCCAAGATGTCTATCAGTGTATGACTGTGCGCATGAATGTGATGTATGAATGTGAATGAATGATTGAATGTGGCAAGTATTGTAAAGCGCTTTGAGTGATCAGTAAGATTAGAAAAGCCCAAAGTCCATTTACCATTTACCATAGAATTCTTATTATTTTGCAAATGTAGTTCTGACCTGTAGACGCCTACAGCCTCCTTGGATGTTCGTTCTAGATGTCTGAAGCGCATAGCCATGGGCAACTCCAAACTAGTTGCCCGTCTAAAAGAAACAGCAGAAATTAAGTCATTAAAAACATTAAAAAAAACAAAAAACAAAAAAAGAATGCATTTTAACCCAGCCAAAAATCTACTAAACTAAAGAGGTGAAGCCTGACCTTGTGGACTTCAAAAGAACCTCATCTTCCTCATCATCATAAGGCCCAATATCAGGAAGCTGCCGATGCTGGGAAGCCAGGAAGTTAAAAATGTCAAACGTGGACTTCCTGTTAAGAGAAAAGAGAAAGTAATGTCAGGTCCAGAGGACTATCAATTAAGCAATTCAAAAAGTCAATTACAAAAAGTTAAATACTAGTTAAAAATACTCTTGTCCACCCAAATTTTTATCATAGTACTGAGTGAATAGAATCAAGAAAGACTCGAGATCAATAAGCTGAACTGATCCAGGAATTAAAATTGATAAAAATGATCATGCCTAAGATAGAGCTCGGAGCGGGCACAGCCGCTTGGATTGACAGGCAAGTCGTCCTCTTGGCTGAACAGTTTGAAGAAACGGAAGGTATGGCGATGACAACGGTGAGCTCCTTGAAGTTGCTCTAGCAAGAACACCACTGCATCATGGACCAGACCCAGCATACGGGCACCAGTGATCCTCTGAAAGGTAAGAGGTCTCAGCCTCGCAATTGCTCGTGCCTCCTGCACCCCGTCTATCACTGCTTTCCAAGCCACTGAAAGGAGAGTTGAGAGTAAATGGAGTGAATACAATTAGCATAAATGCCAACAGATATACTATAATCAAGAAACTCACTTTATTATTTTGTTAAGTTAATTTTGAATTTTTAAAATATAGCCTTACCCTCGATACTGTCCGCCTCTACACTGAAACCATCATCACTGGTTATCTCAAATCGTAAGTGTGGTTGGTCTCTGTTAGTTGGACATTCCTCATCCTCTTCAGACAGCGGTGATTCATCATCTGAGGGCAAAGCAGCACCTAATAAAAGATAATATATACAGTCAGCCTTTCAGACTATTTTTCCACTTCCTCTCACAGTGGAAAGGTTGAGGCTGAGTCATACTGTAAACATACTATGTGGGTCTACTCTGTACACAATTTCTATTGAATGTACGTCCATCCTGAAGGAGGGATCCCTCCTCTGTTGCTCCTCCTGTGGTTTCTTACACTTTTTCCTGTTAAGGGAGTTTTTCCTTGTCCTATTCAAGGGTCTAGGGACAGAGGGTGTCGCTGTATAGATTTGCGATTTGTGATAGTGGGCTATATTTTAAAAATCTGACTTGACTATTCTTAAACATTGAGTCACATCCATTAGTTACAGTCATAGCATACATGGCAGACATTCTGAACTCATTATTTTTCCATTCACAGAAATCATTAAATTATACATTTAAAACTCAAGATTACCAGAGTATTTCTTCCAGTCAGTCAGGGTGCTGTGTCCAACTGGTTCCCAAGCATGCTGCTTGCCTTGTTCACCCCGGGAGATGTAATCCCAAGGCTCTGACCTGAGAAAGATACAAGTACTCAAGCTTTTCAAAAAAAAACTTTTAAACACAAACTATATACATTTAATATATGCATACATATACATCGCTTACAATGGTAAAGGGTATTTTATCTGACATTTAGCTTTATGGAACACTTTCTATTCATAACAATGCTTTCAGTGTAAGACTGATCATCTATGCAATATACTGTTTCCTGACCCACAATGGAAACACTGACAAAGTATTGGTCTAGACAGTCCAAAAAAGATGTAAAAGATTACATCTAATATTTAGAAGCACAGCTTGTCAAATGTAAGGATTTGGGTGCTTTTCTTTATCATATATGATAGTAAATGAAAAGTCCTTGGGTTTTTCATTGATGGTCAGACAACACAAGCAAGATATTTTAGACTAATCAGAGTAAATGGTAATAAAAATAATCAGTAGTTGCATCCCTACTTAAGATGAGTAAATCTTACCCTGTGCTATCAGAATCACTTATGTGCTCCTCCTTTAACTCGTCCAGGTTTAGTACTTCTTTCACTGTTGGTGTCTTGATGCGGACTCCTGAAGCCCTGCTGGAGATGCTTTGGCAGGCAGGTCTGCGCCGCTCCTCATCCTCACTGATGGGTTCCGGCTGCAGGAAGTCAACTTTAGACTTCTTTGTGACGATACGGTCTGAAAGTGAAGACACTCTTTTCATGCGGACGTGGGTACGAGGGCGGGGAGCAGGAGCTGGTGCTGGTGTTGGTGATGGTGAGCGAGGTGACACTTGACGCTCCGGTTCAATTAATAGACCAGGTGGCAAAACAAGTGAGGAGGGGCTAAGTGTTCGAAGTCCACTCCACTTGGGGGTGTAGTTACTTGCCATTGCTTGATTTATAATTGCTTGGGCACTTTCAGCAGGAGTCATGGGAGGATTCTTAGTTGACAGAGCAGGCTGTCCTGAGGCCTTGGATGACTTGGACTTTTTGGATGCATTGGACTCCTTTTTCTTCTTTGGTTTATTCAGTTCTGGGGCAGCTTCATCTTTTGATGTTTTTGCATTCTTCCTTGGCTTCTTCACATTAACTGATGCCACTGCACCGTTGCTGTTGTGAGCGAGCAGCTGCGTAATTGTGGTTGGATTCTGAACTGCCGGTGTAACTGACGGAGGAACTGCTGTCGCCACGTTTGCCCCAGGGTGAGGAGCAGTCATGTTACCCGCTGCTGCTAGTGTGGCTGACAGTGCGTTGCTTTGCAAAAGGCTTGCAATCTGAGTGACACAGTTATAGGAAGGGGAGTTGGGAGTGGGCAGCTGGAAAGTGTTGCTTTCTGGATTCTTCACAAAGATCTGCCCAAGGCGGTTCACCAGCAGGACGTGTGGCGTAGGATCCACATTTGGACCTCCCACCTCTTTCACAGTAAGAATGGCATGACCAGGTAACGCCTGGGGTAGCACTGGCTGTTGAGGTTCTAAAGCTGGCCTGGGAGTAGAAAAGTTGATGGAGATCGTGTGACCAGATGCAGCTTCCTTCTGCACAGATGAAGAGCTGTAACCATTTAGGATCACAGGGGCTGAGGTGGTTTGAACTGCTGTTGGAGCAGTTGAACACTGCGCTGACAGCCCAGAAAGAGATGGTATTGATGCAGAGGAAGAAACAATGGTGACAGCTGTAGAACCCAGCGGCTGTGTTTGTGTGGAGTAGATAGGTACAGAGAGAGTTTCACAAGTTCCTGCTGGGGGACAAGTGCCTGATGTAGTTGATAGCACTGGATCATTTTGAGGGGCAACATTTAGCAGTGTTTGTGTCACATCTCCAACAGGAGTGAGGGTCGTTAATTTAGTAGACAGAGGCTCCATGGATGGGAAGGTTGCTGAATCTTGTGTTACTGGCTGAAGTGTAATACTTGTTAGAGGAGGCTGACTGAAACCAGGTAAGCAGGAGTACATCTGCAAGGAGTCTACAAGGCCTTGGGAGGAGTTTTGTACATCTGTAGACATTAAAGGGGAGGGCTGAAGAAGATCCAGCAAGGCGCCCTGACTTGTGTCAGCAGCATCCGCTAGTGAGGGTTCCACTGTATTGCCTGTTAAGTGGTTCATTAACACAGTAGACCCCTCAGTTGACGATACAAAATGGCTGCTGTCAGGCTCTGAATTCAGGGGTTTACAAGCTTCAGACTGTTGGTTCTCAATTGGCGTGCCCTCTAGCAAAGGAGCCATCTCAGTTAAATGTGGACTAGGTTCACAACTCTCAAGAACCAGAGCTGTTTCAGGGGCAAACCCTAAACTGGAACCCTGGAATAACCCCTCTGAATATGAGGTCTCAGGCACCTTTGTGAGTAGGTTAGGCAGAGCATCATGAGCTGGAGTAGGAAGCACAGTCTCCTGATTTACTAAAGGAGTGTCAGAGCTTTGTTCTTTGAATGGAGAGTTCGCAGAAATTTCCTCATTTAACTGACTAGCATTAGAGGATTGAGGTGGGTCTTGAGGTGAACTATCTGTAGGACTTTTGCTGACAACCGAGATGGTAACCGATGAAGAATCTGTGTGCTTATCATTGGATGATGCTTCGGGGAACAGGCTCTGAACAACTTCTGTGTTGTTTGTAGTTTCTGATCCAGGGACATTTTTATTATTCAGGTTTTTGGCTTGTATCCGAGCTTGAGTAGAACCCTCAACTTTCTGAGGATCTTCGTTGGTTGCTATACTTGTATCACTTTCTGTGCCGTCGTCAACACCATCCAGTTGAGCCATAGGCCGGGAGGAAGGGGAGGAGGGAGACTTGGACAGATCTTTTGATACGGGACGACTGACTATTGTCCGTGAGAAATCAAAATAGTGCTCCATATCATCATCAGAAGAGGTGTTTCCTAAGTCGTCCCTGGCTGAGGCAGCAGATCGTGGTAGGTTGGCAACAAGGGTCTTCCTCTTGTGGACGTCTTGGGCTCTTCCCCAAAATTCCTCTTGATCATCACCTTCAACTACTATCTGCCCCCCACAGTTCATTGCTACGCCTTCATTCAGGAGTGTCTCTTCAATCTCCAGTTCTGTCCTCATCTCTTGGCCCAGACTCAGGCTGGGATCTTTGTGGAATGAACTGTAGGGAAATTCTTCTTCATCCTTCTGTTGGTCTAAGTCCCCCTGGGGTGACGTACCATTTGCTGGAGAGACATCTTCAGGCTCTGGTGATGCTAAGAAGTTGTGTGGCACCTCGACCGAGTCTGACTGGCTCAGATCAAATGATAATCGAGTTCTGGGTAAATGTATGGATGAAGAGAAAGACAGACTTGGAGAAGGAAAGCTTCCTGCACTATCCTGCCAGGGAGACTGGGGAAAGAAAGATGAGGTACAATGGGTCATTGTATTTCCAGGGCATCGGACAGAGGAAGCACTTCTACCTCCGACTGGGCGGGATGATGGAGAGCTTATCAGGTTGTCTGTACCAAGTGGAAACAGTGGGGAAGTGGGAAGGGAAGATTTTCCAGCACGAAGGGTAATTGGTCCAGGCAGAGGGCCGAGAGGAGGGGGCGACATGCGACTGCGTAGGCCTGGTGTTTGCGAGTGTGGGCTATGGCGACGAGCCCTTCTAGTCTCCTCCAGATCACTTATGGTTAATATGTGGTGGGGTTTCAACTGGGCTACCCCTAAGAAGAAAACAGAATTAATCAGCAGCTTAAGACTTGCATGCTTTTCATTGGATTGATTGACTTGCTGCTTGATAAAATATTCTTACCAAAAAATTCTATGAATTTATATTTTACCTGGGGATGGAAGAGGTCGGGACATTCCTCCAGCTGGTCTTCTAGTTTGAGGATAACTGGGAATCTTTGGCCTTGCTCCATGATCACACTTGGAGGGAGGTCCGTGGACAAAGCCTTCCTCCATTGGCGGTTGGGATTCTGTTATATCAGTCTCTGGGGCTTCAGATTCTGATGATTTATCAAAACAAATTATTAGTATTGTTATCTATAAATTTACTTCCTGATGTACTTCAGTTTTTCAGTGAGAAAACACGCACCAGGTAGTGGACAGGGGCTGTGAGCAATGGTGCGGTTGTCTCCTTGGTCAGGCATCTCCTCAACAGGTTTCTCAGGCACAATGGGCCGGACCTCCCTGACTGTACATGTGTATTTGCACCGGCGCAGTGGATTAACTGTACTCCAGTACCAACGAGAACACCTTAGTAAAGAATAACAACGTTTTAAAAGTCTTTTTCATTTAAAATATTTAAAATATATATCTTCATTTAATGAAGTGAGAAATTATGAAATACAACTTACTGAAAACCCACAGGACACAGTTTGCCTTTGCTAGCTGAAAGTTCTGTCAGCACACCTAGTTTGTCTATTTGTAAGGAACCTGTGTAGTGGCAAATTAGATACCAATTATTAGTTTAACATAACTTCATGTTAGTAAATGTCAAGGAATGAAAGAGGCAATCAACTAAAAGAAAGGTTCTTACCAATCATCACATTGATCAGTTCTGGTTCCAGTCCTGTCAAGAACTTTCTGCGGAGGCTGATCCCCTCAAAATCCACATACACCCTGCGGTTTACCTCGAATTCTTGACCAGCTATCATCTGTACAAGGACAAGAAGTGATAAGACAACAAACACTCAAATTTCAAACCTTGAAACTGTAGCAACATTCATTAAGAGACAATATGGAAGAGCAAAACTTACCCTGCCACTGATCAGATGTCTGTGTTTGTAGCAATAGACCTTCTTATCATCCTGGAACACACAGTGACGGGAGCGGGCACACATGAAGTGATAGTTGCTTTGACAGGATGTCAGGCAGCAGCCCACTGTGGCACCCGTCTGGTTGCAGCGTTCACATCGCTAAGAGGGGGTTGGGTTGATGGGGGTGAAGGATGAAATGTCAAACTTACACAGTAAAAGCAATTAAGTAGCAGAGCCTTACTTATGTATTGTTTTCAAATTTTTGCTTTAAAATATCACTAATCGCTGTATTTACAAATCTGTATGTAATCAAAGTCAGATTTCTAATAATATAGTAAATAAATACACATTATTAAACTAACAGGCAAATCAGTTTTTATGGTAGAGTAATAACCAACCATTAAGCGCCCTCTTGTGACAGCACTGTGTACATGTAATAGAGAGCCATTGTCCTCTTCAAACACCTCAGCTGACCACAGACAGCAGTTGACATGTGCCCATTCATTCTGGCCCAAGTACAGCAACCTGCCTGCTTCCTGTTGAACAACACAAAAGAAAATGTGAAGCCCACTGCATAACAAAGAAAAGATGTGTGTCCAATATTTACAAGCAGTTCACCAAGTTTACAATGTACTATGATCTACAGTTCATTTTCATGTTGATGTATTACTTACATTAGGTTTGAGGTCTCCAAATTTTTGGCACAAAGAGCACTGTCTCTCATCATCTTTAGACCATCCAGTGTCTAGATCAGCTTTTGAAAGCCGGCCCCTTTTCCCTGTATAAATGTGCCATCAGTAAGAACTTCAAGGCCCAAACACTGTGCAAGAATTTTTACAAATAAGTATCAAATTTCATGATCATCTCTCCTCTTGATAGCGTTACCTTTAAATTTGAGCCTGACAGCCCTGCTGGTTTTGAAGTGGTTCTGGCTTGTTGGCTCCCCAGACATCGGAGAAACTGCCTCTTCTTCCTTTAAATCTAAGCTTTGTCCATTGTCCTCCTGCACGAGCCCCAGTGGAGCCCTGGACGAGAGCTCCTCCCTCTCCCTCTCCTGCCACTGAGCGTAAACATGCTCTGTAGTTGGAGGATGAACAGCATGGAACAGCATCCCCCTATTGAAAGAAAGAATTAATGAGTTAAAAAGCTTATAAATATTTCTTGTAACGCCACAGAGGAGTGCATACAACTTTCATATATGTAAACAAGAAGGTATGCTGTACACTAAATACATCATCATGATGTACTACTATCTCCAGGTAGTACTTTTAAAACACCTTCAGAGTTCAAATTAGATTTCTATATTTCATTATTTTACAGGACAACGTATGCAAAGAATATTTTTCAAATTAATGTACACATGTTTACAAACCAGTAAATGGAAACTATTACTCACATAGGCAAGTCTTTGGTACAAGGGTTCCACACCTTTGGGTCTTGGCTGTTGAACCAATTAAATACCTCCTCGAGGAGCTGAAGAGAAAAACCACATCAGTCACTTATAAATGCTAATGCTTTTCTAAAACTATTACACAACTTCACTTTGTTTTTCAAACTACCATTACGAAAAGAGGAAAAAATAGGTTTTAGCACTACAAGGATCCTTTCACATAATAACAAAAATATTGATAAATGAAAGAGCAGTCATGCCCTCAAGGTTTACACCACCTTTAAGTAGTAAGAGCGTGCCAGGGCAGTGGGCCTCCGCTCCTCTGGAAGATCCTCTTCTTGCTCAAGCCTCTTTCGTACCACCTGAACCACATCTTCATGGAACATTTTCTGTAAAAATAAAAATAAAAAATCTTTTTTTAGTATCCATTAGGTTCATATCTTAGTTGCCCCTGCCACTGTAGGCGTCGTTCCCTGTAGAACACTTGTTGTAGAAACACGGTTAGAGGCAGTCTTAATAGACAGCTAGAGACGACCACAGACCAGTGAGAGGAGGAGCTTTCTTTAAATTTCCTTTTGAAAACCAATTCAGTGGCCTAATTTCAAACTACATTTAAGTCTATCCTTTTATATCATTTGTCTGTCAGTAACTTTATATCGTCTGTACTCCATAGTTTCCTGTCTGGCAATAATTAGAGTTCTTACATATCTGAAAGACTGCGGTTACATGCACACACTGAAATTATTCCAACTAAAGATTTCAGGACATCTGTTTACATGGGATGTGATTTAATACTTTCTGCTGTTTACATGTGTAGAGTGTCTCTCAATTCTTACTGAAATAACGAAGTTTAAAAGCTTACACAATTTAACACTGAATTTTTCCCACAGTGGTACTCAAGTGGTCAGACACTGAATAAGAGGTTGTTTACTCACCAACGTAGTATAAAGGCCCTTGTCAAATTTCTTGCCTACAGCTCGGAGGTCACAGGCTGGCTGTCCTTCTATTCCACTGTCAGGATCGACCAATTTTTCACACTGCAGCACAAACCACAGCATATTTAACATCCTGTATTTAATGTACTTGTTAAGTCTTGCAATAACTCTGACATATATACACCATGTAATAGCCTTATTTTTTACATAGCACATTTGAGTAGTGTAGCAGTAGCAGAGTGTCTTACCTGTGAGCAGGTAACAAGGTGCTGGGTGAGGGTGGAGGAAAGCAAGCAAGCTAGAACCTTCTCCACCCCAGCCCTGAGCTCAATGTAGAGGAGCTCTCTCCAGGCACTGGGCTGGGTCACACTGCATGGCCGACATGAATACACTACACTCTCTGGCAGGCTGGACAGGATCTCATACAGCTCATCTGAAATAATTTTACAAGAGAGAGGAGTTTAGCGGTGGAGATGAGGAGAATTCACCTCTAAACAAAATACACACAAACCTAGAGCATCTTTACTGCGTTCTAAAGAAAGCAGGAATCCACAATAAAAAATTTGAATTGTTTTGAATGCATGCTCAACTATTAATAGTTAATAACAAATAATATTGATGTTATTAGTTAGGATACTTTTATCCTCAAAAACATGTAGAAGAAAAATTACCTGTTAGATCCTCACACTTGGCATGTACCCAGTGGTTGCAGGTGCCACACTGCATCATCTGACTGTCATAGTCATTGTCCTCATAGCACTTGAAGCAGATTGGACAGTAGTTACCTTATGAGAGAAGAATAAAGATGCTTAGCCACAACATAGATTGGTAATGTAGGTATATAATACAGAACTGGACATATTATCAGATGATTAATAAATGTACTGTAAAGGTTAAATTCTCTCCTCACCCTGTTCATAGAGTTTTGAACAGTCTGGACAGAGGCCTTTGTCGTGGTTCCAGTCAGTGTCCCAGCTCTTACCTGGTGTGACGCCACAACTTTTACACCTGATGCATGTCATACAAACCTACACAAAAAACCATCATATTAGCACAGGCAACCAATGTGTTCCTACTTCAGCATGTAACAGTAAACATACATGACTTTGCTTTTTTGAAGAAGAAGAACCAGGAACATACCCAAGCTTTTCTCTTCTTGTTTTGTTTTGGATAGTTGGGTCCCAAACAGGAAGCATGATAGCAGTTCTGGCATCGTTCACACTCCAACAAAGGCTGAGGGAGACATGAAAAATGTGATGTTTACTGACTGAATTACTTTAATATTGACAAGTAAAATATCCCAAAACAAGCCAAATTCGCAGGTTCTACCTTTGAGTGCTTGTTTTTCCTGCCGCACACATGGCAGAATTTGCAGCGACGACAACACCAGTTTTCCTTGTTCTCTTCAGAGGGGCGCTCTGCTGGTTCAAGGCAAAACTGGTGGAAGGGCTCACAGCACACTTGGCAATATAGCATCTGAAAAAAGATATTCATATAATCAAAAAATTGTCATTACATAAATTTAAAATGACAAAATTATTATTTCTTATCCGTATGATACTGTGTAACACGTGTAATCTATGTACAACAACACTATAAGAACCAGTTAACAGTTTATAAACTTAAGATGGTCAGAATGACAAGTAACAGATCAGCAGTTTCAATTAAAATACAGCAGAATGTATAGAGCACTTACGTCATGTTGCCCTTTACTGGCACAAAGGAAGCAGACGTAGGGTGGCATGAGCGGTGCAGAGGTCAGTATACTTAAACCACCCATATTCCAGACATTCTCCAAAGTACAGTCCTCCTGAAAATGACACACAACACAATAACAACATAATAATGTATGAGAGAAGGATCACAGTAGGTACCAGTGTAATTTTGCGGTCTGCTGACCATCATCCATTAAAAAAAATAAATAAACAGACACATATATAGAATTTTTTATGTCATGCTGTGTCAGTTATGATGGAACAGTGTTTACATGTTACATTTTGACGAGTGGTCAACAAAGATTTTTAACTAGTCATGGGGGTATATTCAGTTTGGAATTAAGAAATAACCACTGACCTCTAGTGGGCAAGATTAATTACTACATCAGTGACATGGCATTGTAACAATCTGAGATTAATACAATTTCTAAGGAATAAATAACATTTGATCAAAAAAAAAAGTTAAAATGTTAAAACCCAAGTTTATTTTTAGAATGAGTGGCATCAAACAGGAATCATATGCCTGTTGTACCCACTGAACAGATATAAGAATGTAAGAAATAGGTTTATATTACAATGCCAGCCATCACTGCTGGCATCACCTAATGCCAGCAGTGATGGCTGGCATTAGGGGAGTGACTCTGGGACGCCAGTGATCACTGTCTAGCCTCCTGGAGGTGTCGTGGGACCAACTAGACGAAACACTGGTGAAAGGAGGTTCCCACCTGATGACCCCAAAGACATGTTAGTTATCACTGCTCATTAGTCTGTGTAGCTGATTTAATAGTTATCATAGGGCTTAGGGAGTTATTCACTGAGTCTGGTCCAGTTTTTACAGCACAAGCTTCTTGTGTTTATCCTAAAAAAAACAAGATTTGTCATACACTGTAAAAAAGTAACATACCTTGAAGTCAACCCTGATTTTATGAGTAGGTTTAGAAGACTCAACATCTCTCTGCTCAAACCCATGGGCCAAAGCTGCCAGGACACTGGGAGGAGTCTGTTCCAAAGGAACCTGTGGTGTCTGACCCTGAAAGACAACCATAACTTAAATTGGGGCAGAAAAGGTCCTTAAATTATTATACATTCACTTTTAATTGTGCGTTCCCATGGCCATAATGGATGACATGGCATGTGACACATCGACAGACTGCAACAGAGAACATGAATCATGGGGTCAGAATATCAGGGTGTGATGTAAGGTGAGAATTTTGCAGCTGCTGTTTTCTCTGATACGATTAACAACAGTAACCTAAAATAATGGCATATTTAGTTTAGTTTACACTGTGCAAAATTGGAAGTTCCCAAGGAAGATATTTTGGTGTGGGCCGGGGATTATTCACAGCCCATGCTGACCAATTTCAGTTCTTGTGGTCTCCATGTGGTATTTCTGTAACCGCAGTAGCCCTGAGTCGTAGGTACATTTGTGAGGCACCACATGTCAGCTATGGAGGAGTCAACAGCACAGGTAGGGTGTCTCCATAACAACTTTTTAACCCCTTAATACACAGCCATAAATCAAGCCTCCATCTGGATAATGCTCAAAGTGGAAACTAATGTGGCAGAGTCCAAATGATGATTCTAATGTGAAAACAACTGGGCACATTTACTGTATCTGAGTTAAAACAGAGCACTAACTTAAATTGAAATGATGTAGTAGGCACCAGTATTATATGCTGTAGTTGAGGAGTGGCTGAACAAGAATTAGAACTACTGGCAAGTAGCAGTGCAGACATTTCTTTTGGAAAAATAAAAACTGTAGAAATGGAGCTGCAGAAAGAGACAGCATGGCCTGGATTTTAGAAAAAGGAACAGGAAGGAAAGGGGGGAGGTGGGGGGGTGGGGGGGGTCTTAGCTACACCAGGCCAAAAGCTGGCAATATACAAACAAAACTGCATTTGGCGTTTTCTCAGAGACAAAATTGGCTGGTTTGTGACAATATGTTACTAATTGGGATCAATCCACACAGTGTGCCAATCCTGGCCAGCTAACCTTTCTGAACATTTTAGCAGAGCCTTGTTTGCCACCCTCCGACGGATTGAGTGACACTTAGCGTGTCAGTGCTAATCAAAAACAAAAAACTGCCACAAATACAAATTGTGTAGGCTAACCATCAAACTCAGAGCTACCCACCTTCTCAGGTTTACGTCGAGCAGGTTGTACACGGTGTGAACTGGACTTGCGATGCCTGACTTCATCATCTGAAATGTCTCCAAGGAATCCATCCAGTGAAACAAAGTCTTTGAAGGACAGGAAAAAACAGTTTATTATTATGAGACACATCACAAGCTTTGCACTCCCACAAGCAAAACAATTCTACAATTTTAAAGAAATGTGGTGTTATGTAGTATTAAGAAAAAAATATACTAGATCATATATAAAGCATCTATCTCAACTGGATTCTGAGTGTTAACTTACCTTGACTGAAACGGTGTCCAGAGCCCCTTCTCCTGGCTGGCGAGGCAGAGCTCGAGACAGCTTTGTCATCTAGATCTGAGTCGTAGTCTACCAGGTCAAAGTAGACGCGGGGTTTCACAACACGCTTTGGTTGTTTCCTTACTGACGGACTGTGGCCGTCACCCTGGAGACCAGATGGTGAGTCTGCAGTGCCCTCGTTCCCTTCGTCATTACTTGAATGACCCCCGCTAAGCGAAGATCGCCGTCGCTTGGAGGCACCTTAAAAGAAGGAGGAGGCATGTAGCTGGCACGCTGAATGTTATGGAAGTATACAACAACATGAGGCTTCCATGCTCAAGTGAAGACTTACCTTTGGGTGCTGTTCTTCCACTGAGTCTGCGTGCTTTCCTCTCTTCAATCTGATCACATCTCTTATACCTTGTGATATAAAACACAGAATTCTTTATTACTTGTGAACACCCTGCTGTGCTCCTCAACAACTCATAATTAAGTATAAGTCAACTTACACACAACACTGCCGTTTGGTGTTGGGTCCACCAAACTTTGGCTTGTCAAGGCAGTTCATGCACTTGCCACAGTCCTCCTCATGGTTGCAGCCTTTGCATACTCCACATCTCCGAGAACGATACCCAAAAGGCCCGAGTCCTTTCCTTTTCACAAAGTTCGACGGCTTCTTGACCTTGGTGACCTTTGGATCTGACAGCCCAGGACTGTCTGATTCTGAGGGAGACCCAACATCTGCAACAACAAACACACATTAAGAACGGGAAACCAATACCAGCCACATGTTGCTAAATTTCATTTTTCTGAAGTGGTTCATTTTTAATTTTTCAAAACGCATTTTCAGTGACAGATAAACCTGGTTGCATTATTTGTAAGTTGGAGTATTTAGCAGACAAATCAAAATAATGAGCATAAATAGTACAGGTGAAATGATTCATATATAAACGCTGGCACTGTGATTATGGATTATTCCAATTATTTTAACAGTAATTTTAAATTAAAAAAAATAATTAAATAAAAAAAATCAAACTGAATCAAAAACCCTGTCAATTCTCTGTCAGAATTGAGAAGCTGAAACTAATAGTGCCACCACTACTACTGATGCTGCCATCAAGACACAAGAAACTTTATGAGCATATTTAAAGAAAGCTAATCCAGATAAATCTGTCAATCAGGTCACATCTACCTTTAGTGACGGCTGATGGGGAAATGCCACTTCTTTCATGCAGAGGCAAGGCGCTCAGTCTGGGAATGTCATCTGGTACCAGCGCTCGAGGCTGCCCCAGCACCACAGATGCTGCACGACACACGTGCTTGATTCGCGGACCTCCTGCTCTGCGGAACTCCTGGCACAGCGGGGAGATGAGCTGAGGCTGGTGAGGAGAATGAACCAAAACAGAACAAACACTGATGTGAAGAGACAGGGGGCTCAAGTTTTTTTTACAAATCTGAATCACTGTTCGTACATTTTAGTACTTTACACTGAACAGATTTATTTTGCTACGTTTTGACTGTAGTAGACGGTTAAATAAACAATAATAAACATTGGTAAAAACCAGAGACAGAAACGAGATTTTTTTGATGGAATTCCGGCCTATTGATTTGTTCGCTCACTTGTCCTTGAGGTGGCTCTGTCTTGACAGGAACATCGGCATCAGGCTGCACCCTCTGCTTCCTCCTTTGTCTCTTGGAGGTCATATCTCGAGACCTGGCGCTACTCGGACCAGATAACAGCTATAGGTTTAATGGACAGAACAAGGCATCAATACAAGCCTCAGACAACTAGAGAATCACCTTGTATCATCAATACTTTTATATGAGGTTTTCCTCTTCTACAACAGGTTCTATTACACAGAAATTATGTAATAATGAACAATAAAAGTCTACGATGACTGAAAATGTGCTTGTGTTGATCATGACCTTACCCCAGATGACTTAAGCTGTTTCTGCTGGTCAATTTTAATGAGCTGGACCTTGGCTTTCCTGAGGAGATTGAACATTCTTTTATTTGCACCAGTGAGGCGTGCCCTTTGTGAAGCTCCCTTCTCCACGGACCCAGGGTAATCACCTTCACCTGTGCCTGAGTTCTGTTCTGACTGCAGCTCTCCTGTGGATATAAAGTAATATATGCCAATGACTGGTCCATTATGAGGCTCGTTCTTCTAGGTTGCATAATTAATAGATCAAAAGTTGTTTGCTTAGCATTAAATAATCTTACGCTTTTAATCATTTTGCTTACCTGAGTGAAGTTGGACAATGTCTTTCCCTGCTAAATCCTCCTCTTTACCGTGCTGCAGTGCAAGGGACTTGGAGTTCATAGTCCTAACACACACCGAAACCTTTCTCACCACTCCAGGGGTATCAAGGTCTTCTATCTTGAGCTTGGACTTGTCCTTCTCCTGCTCCACATTTGTATTCCGTTGCCTAAGACTGATGCTCATAGCCTCATCATCAAGTCCTTCTGCTAAATCAACGGGAGGCTGAAGAGGTTTATTTGCACTGTCCATCTCTGTTGTATTTTTGCTTTTGGGAAGTACCGTGTGCACCTTCTTTAGCCTTTGATAAATCTTGAGGTGGGCTGTTTGTTTATTAAACTTAGGGAAACTTTTCTTTTTCTGAGCATCCAGGAGGTCAGTAGATAGTTCTGTGGGCTTATCAACTGGTGTAGATAAAAACAGATCCTCACATTTGTTCTCTGGAGTTTTGTCCAGTGTATACACTTCCTCGCTAGACTCCTCTGGCACATGCCACTTGAAACTAGAGTTCTTTAGAAGAGACCTCTTCTTTTCACTTTTGCCACTTTTTCTCTCAGAAAATAGGCTGTCAGCTATATCAATGTTGTCCTCCAGGTCCTGAGCTGAAAACAGATCGACATCCAGTTGCGCTTCACTCAATATGTCCTCATCGTCAACTGGCAGGATAGGGGATATTGCTCTGCCAGTCCCATCATCTCGTCTCTTTCCTGGACGTATTTGCAGGCCCAGCTGTACACCTTTCTTTGGAGAGTTTCTTCGAGGCAATACGGACATTCCAGCATCATCCATGAACCTTTGCGGGGTCTTGATCACCCGCGAGGATCTGGCACTTACGACAGGCATAATGAAGTGCTTGATGTTTTTTACAAACTTTGATTTACCAGGTGGGGTCTCTACAACATCTGCCTGTCCCCCATCAACCAACGTATCTGTTTCTTCCTGCTTCAAACTATCTTTTTCAAGACCTATTTCTATCAGCTTAGAAATTATTTTGGATTGTGGTTTTGGCCTTTTAGACCCGAAAAACTGAAGGCCTGACTGTGTCTTTTTGTACTTTTTATGTACTCCAATAAGTCTGGAGCTTGGGGCTGGCGTGGTAGCTGCCAATGGGGTGGAAATTTCGCTATCCCCTTCAACAATTTTCTGACTTTCAGATATTTTAAGTGGAGCAAACTTCCCATCTCTGCTCCTGTGCCTGTGTTTCTGACGCTGCCCAATCAAACTTTTACGTCTCTTTTTTACTTTTTTGAGAGATTTCTTTTGCAGGCACAGTGTTTTTGGATCACTTTCTGCTTGACTTTCTGACACCAAAGATTGTTGACTATCTATCAGCTGAATGTCTGTTTCCTCTTTTACCGGTGCCTGTATCTGCTCTTCTTCCACTGACACAGTGTCCTGTTTTGCCTCTGACTGGGTGCAGTCTTTTGTTTCTGGCTGACTTACCTCTGTTACTAAAGGCTGAGTATCTTCCTTTAGTACAGACTCTGTGTTAGTAGCTTCAACTGTAGCAACCTCTGTGTTAACAGCAGTTTCAGCAGCAGTTTCAGGGGCGACAACAGCTTTCTTCTTTTGAGCAGACTTCTTTTTCCCTAACTTATTATTTCTACATCTTCTAGGTTTGGAAGGCACAGGCAATGGTTTTGCCTCTTCGATCTGTGGTTCTACCTCATTCTCCACCTTCTGTGGAGAAGTTTCACCTGGCACTGGTGAAGGATCCTCAGCGACCTTTGATAAGGAATCCTCATCAGGAACTTCAGTGGAGCCTATACTTGTCACCTGTGAGGGGTCCTCAGCCAAAACCTGACAAGAGTTTTCAGGAAGAACATGTGAGCTGGAATCTTCAGTTGAAACCTGAGAAGAATCGTCAACGTGCACCTGCGGAGTATCCTCATCCTGCGGACTTGTTCTAAGTCTCCGTTTCTGAGTGGTCACTGGCTTATGACTGACAGACTTTGTCTGTGGTGAATCAAGGCTTGATGTCCTCCTCCTTAGTCTCCTAGCTGGTGTGACTTCAGGATCCAGACATGAGGATTTATCCTCACAAACTTCACTGGAATCTTTCAGAACATCTTCTTTCTTCTCAGGCACAGGACTAACTTGCTGAATTAAAAAGGATGGCTTTGAGCTTTTATGTTTACCAGGAGAGGAGACCTTTTTAATCTGAAGGGGTGGGACAACTTTTCCGCAATCAGTTTTACTGATTTCTGGAGATGGTGTTTCAATTACGTGTTCCACATCAACATCAACATGTAAAGTGGACTTTTCCTCCAATGACACGTCAGCCTTGTCTTGGGAACACTCATTATTGTCTGTGTTTTCAATCTCCTGTGGGGTTGAGTTATCCAGTTTTGATTTTTTATCCATGCCATTCAAACTCTTGTTGACACTTGTGTCACAAAAAGTGGACTGCTCCACTTCACTCACAGTCTTCTCTACTACTTTGACAGTGTTTTCAGCATCCCGTGTCTGACTTCCTCCCTTCACTAATGTTAAAGACCAGATAAATTTTCTCCGTTTTTTCTTTCGAGCTGAATTCTTCCCACTGGCCTGTGCATCATATTTTGGGTTTCTGACCCGGATCAACTTTAAACTTGGGACCATCATGTCCTCTTTTTTCAGAGACAAACTGTCACTTGGCTGTACAGCTGAATTATCAGTCTCTGTGGATGATAGACCATGGTTTTCTGGCACAGTAACATCCTTATTCAGCCTCTTGCTTTGCCTTCGTCTGTCACCTCTCAACAATGGTTTTGGCTCCACTGTTCTAGAAACTTCTGATTGTGACTCCACCAGAACGGCATCACTTTTGCTCAAACTCTCTGGTTCAGCTGCACTGTCTGAGACGCTTTTAGAGAGTGGGTTAGTGACTCTATTGCTTCTACGAATCACTAGTTGATTAGCTTCAGACATTTGCTCGGTTGCAATTTCCTTATGCTTTAATTTCTTTGCATTTGTTTTTGGCTCTTCAGTCCCGCTCTCCTTTGCAGTGTCAAGTGGATCAGCTGATTTTCTGTCTTTTGATTTTTGGTCATCAATCACAACTTTGGCGCTAGTCTGGCAGACAGGCTCTGTTGTCTTTGAAGCAGATCTTCCACGCCTTCTTGCAGGTACATTCCCCCCTCCCTTATCTTCTGTGCCATGTTTATCCTCATGTGGTTCCGTTTTTAATTTGACATGAGCGCTTGAAATCTCATCACCCTGAATGTCCTTGGTTTTAGACTGATCCTGAACTCCTTTTATCTTCAACTTCTTCACAGATTTTTTATGAGGCTCCTTTACAGTTTTCATTTTCTTTTTGGCCACCAACTTAATAGTAATCCTTGGTGCTGCTGATGAGGCTCCGCTTTTAGTGGACTGTCGATCCATAGTGTTTTTTCCTTTCGAACCTTTCCGACAATCCTTTGCAGGCTCTGCTTCAGGAGATAAGCCGTGAACTTCCTCCAATGATTTTACATCTTTTGCTGGATCAGGTGGGGTAATAGCTGCCTCCACTGCTGGCGTTTTAAGCAGTAGCTTCTCACTTTGTCGTTTAGATTTTGCGTTGACAGCATCACCTACAAAACAAATAGATATTAAATGTTGCAAAATCCATATCTCCTCCGCTGGATGCAAAAATGTAATAGAAAACAAGCCTCATTTATACCGTGTTGCATTTTTAAAAAACTTTAACTTGTGTGTTGTTCATGAATTACACCAAATACGTTATTTTGTGCAGTGACATGTCCTTACCTTTTGAAGGGTTTTGTCGAGACCATACAGGCCCTTTGGAGCCTTTTCTCTCAGCTTCAAATCCTCTAAAGTCATCCCCCTAGAAGAATAAAATCAGTTAATTAACACTTGAAGCAACTTAACACCACTCTGCTGGAGGCTACTAAACCATCAGCAAAAACAATTATATTTGTTTAATTAAATGTATTAATTTTGAATTTCAAAGCATATAACATCCACAACAGAGACCAAGTTAACATGTTAAGTTAATACAGTGGGTTTCAAAAGTCTGAGATCACTTTTCCATCCACTTGAATGGCAAAGAGGTCTCAGAATTCTGGACCCCACTGTAGATGGAGGTACAGTCTCTAAATGTTCATCATGAAGAATGGATTAATGTCCAGCATTACGATTAATTTTTCAATACACCAATCAAGACTATGTATATTTATCTTAGCATATTGGACAAAAGGATATGTCTAAAAATAATAATACTAATAATAATAATAAGAAAAAAAAGAAAAATATGTTATTTGCTGAAGATTATATAGCAATAATATCAATGACAGAAAACAGAAAATTGTTTGCATTGTTCCACATTCAAACCAACTATTACATTCATCTAATTTGAGTTACAATACATTAAACAGTAATATGGTCTGCATTACTAGCAACCAAAAATGCATTTGCAGTTTGGGGGGGGACTCTCTGAACTTTCCATGTTGGAGTAGCATATAATCTGGATTATTTACCACCGCAAGCAAGATCACAACTCTACAGCCTTTGCATGAATCACACTTGAGTAGTTAGGACGAGTCCCTACACCACCGACAAAAACTGCAGGGAAAGGTGGGACTGTAATTACCATAAGCCCCAAGTACTGTGCATCTCCATGCTTGCAGCTGTGACCTGAAAGCCTACAAACAGCTTCACTGGTGTGAATGAGGACGTTAACGACTACATGTGTATGAGTAAAGAGCTTTCAGTTCCAAGAACAAGGGTGCAACTGGATTTGGCACACTTCTGCACCACCATTTAAACCTGTCGTGAATGGTAGCTAGCAGTTAGCCATCCCCTTCTTTCGAAAGCATTTAAACTCACTTCTGTCTGTAGAAAAGCTACCTAGCTAAAAAATAATATCTTATTATCCGAGTGTTTATATGTGCGCTACGTACGTTAGTCGTGTAATAGTTTATTCTGTCTTACTGAAACTAGCTAAGCAAACAACTCTGCCCGCATCTGGACAGCGTATTAAAACAGAGCAGTTAGCATTAAGCGGCTGTGCAGGATACCGAGGCGCTAGCCTTCCCGTTCTTTGTGTTCGCTACAACTAGCTAGTTGCTACTCTGGCCCGATAACGAGCGGGCCATAGATGGAATAACTGCGGTCCCTGTTTACAAATTGACGTACTAACTAACTAGCTTTTTGAAAAATATCTCCTACTCATGTTTTCAACCTATAATATTTTAACCTCATAGAGAGTGACTAAAGGAACAGTACTAATGTAAGTTAAAAGTGCTCAGCTTCTTTGTTGAGGTGGTATAGTGTTGCGACTGTTCAATAAATGTCATGGGAAGCTCCACTGTGCTAACATTAGTTAGCATTTACTGTTAGCTCACCAAGCTTGAAGCTAATGTTAGCCTAGCAAAAGGATGTTGACATTTCTCCATGGCACTTATCAGTCACACTGCTGGGTACAGCACTCATTCTTGCACATTTAACGATCAAACAAAATGTGAGAAGATGAAATAAAGATACTAACTCCTGGTTCGGTTTGGGACCTCACCTCTTCACTCCCACTAGAGCTGTATCCAGCCTGGCCAAGGATCTTGTGGCTCGCCTCTATCCCAAGTAAGCGCAAGTGAGACTGGTCTTCGTTTAACGACAGAACCAGGTTTGCGGGCCTTGGCCCTCCGTTAGTCACATCATCAGCTTCTAAGCCTGATCGTCCAAGTTGCCATCGCTTCTCAGAGCGCAAACGACTGCGTGACGACCAAGGCCGACCGGGGAAACGACCTCTGGCCGTAGCGGTTCCACCTTGGCCTCCTACGGCAGCCGCGGTTGCTGATCCGCATCCCGCTGCCGCCATCATTGCTTCAACAACAACACACACCGACGGCTAGCAGTTCGAGGAGAGACAAGAGGGAAGGCGCGAGATGGGAGGGGGGAGCCGCAATGTTGCAAGGGAAAGTGAGTCTTTTCGGTGAGGCTCCAGCGGGAGTGGGAGGTGGATCGACCTCTAGTGGTGGATGTACGTCAAATCTCGCTTCAGAAATGTATACACATTACATCTCAGGCTGTGCCACTTCGTTCTTAAAACTATACTGATTGTATTCATCGTAATCCCACTGAAGGCAACTGAATTTAATTCACCAATCATTTCTGCTTAACTATTGGTGGATCCTATAAATTAAATTTCTAATTGTCTTGTATGCCGTTTAAAATGTTCTCAAAGAACCAGCCAGATTTCATAAATATTGATGAATTAAATATTGCAAGACATGTTATCATAATAAACGTGTTATAAATTGCATCAAAAATACCAAACAGGTTGGTATGAGTGTGGGTTCATCATGATGAGAAAGGATTTGGAAATTACTTCTTATTTAAAATCACTCCCATGATAATAAACTTGAAAAAGAAGGAAGCTCTGATATAACATGATTCAATAATATAATAATAAAAGTGACAGCCTTAGATAAAGAAGACTTCATGGTGAATAAAAACAGCCATAATTAACATCTGGCAGAGGAAATAAGATGCAGAGAAGCTGATGATAAAGAGAAATACTGCATTTTACAGTCTATTGTGATAATTAAGTGCTTTACATCATGATTATATTATCCAGGCTCTACACATTGCAATACAGTAGATGGCAGTATGAGTCTTTATCGCCACCACAAAAAACTGATAATGAAGAAGAGGAAGAAGCAGAAATAATAATATAAATAAATAAATATAAATCATTTTTATGGTGTAGAGTTATTTATGTTTAAGTTTCAGCCCATGTAAAAGAGGGAACTCATGTTGCAGAATAAACTGGCTAAGAAAGCATTAGGCATAAAAAAGTAAGAGTAATTTAAACTTCTAGAAAAGAAACAAAATCTCTTCAACATTAAGTTGATCTTGGCAGAAAATATGAGGCTCAATAAAAGTTTTTTTCGTTGTTGCTGTTTTATTTTTTGTTCTTTTTTTGCTTTTGCCACTCACATTTTAGATTTGCCCGCAAACAATTAATATCATCATAGGGTCTTGGCTACTTGGCTAAGTATCAGTCATTCACAATCGCAATCGATTCATTTAATTCCAGTTTTCTGAATTGATAAGAGTAGTATCTTAGAATTCTGACAAAAGTTTTAATTTTTTTCAAATGAATATATCAGATTGGTTAACCTTATCTCAGAATTCTGAAATAATAACATCGCTACCTCAGAAAAGGTAATGGAATAACTGCTTTACCCTAACGTGAGCCTATCTATCAATCTTTTATTTATATAAAAGCAGTATTAGTCACCAAACCGTGTTTGTTGTCACACGTGTCACCCACTCCAATGGCAGTAGGTGGCAGTATTTAGCGCATGTTGGCGTGTGTTTTCCATAAACACAACAAAGAGCGAGGACGAAGAAGAGTGAGAGTCAGGAGACGAAGAAGAAGGAAGTGTTGTTTGATTGTTTCCATTTAATGAACTGGCGACGACTTTTTGGCCTTAAAAATACCAGGTAAAGTATCACGATAGCATACAGTATGCGTAGAAATATTATAAAACGACCTCACCCAGCATCTGGAGACCGATGTAGTTCATGCTACGGCTGTCTTTAACAGTCGAAACAACCTAATGTTACACTGCTAAGCTAACGAAATGCTAACGTTAGCCTGAGTTGAATTTCTAGTCATCTGAAAATGCAAACTAGATCACCGAGCACTACAGGGATCCCTCATCGCTGGGATTTTATACAGTTTTCTTAAGATTACTTCGTTTAAAACATGTCCAGGCCAGTGGGCGAACGTGTTTTAATCGCAACCATCATCAGCATCACCTCCTTTTACAAAAAATTCATATCTTTGGGTTGGCCTCTCCTGCTGGTTCTGCACATAAACTTTTTTCTTTCTTTAGCAGGACCGAGACGTATTAACGATGAACCTGGAACGACTGCCCAACGAGGAAAAGCTAAGTCTGTGCCGAAAATATTATTTAGGTGAGAGTACTTCAAAGTTAATCATGACAGAGAGCAACGATACAGACATTTTTATATTCAGTCTGACATCCTCCCTATTTGGTTTGTAAAGTCTGGATACATGCAAGTATAGTAAACACCTGCCTTCATAAAATATATATTTATATTAAAATGGTCAGATATAGTCTAATTTAGTCAAGGGGAGGATGTATTATCAGTACAGTTCCATTGACGTAAGCCTTTTGTAAATAAAATTAGCAGTATAGAGTAGATTTGCTTAAATATTCATTCAGTGTAAAGTTATTGATTATGTTTTTTCCAACCTCTTTTTTTCCTCAGGTGGCTTTGCATTTCTTCCCTTCCTATGGCTGGTAAATGTTGTATGGTTTTTCAGGGAAGCCTTTCTGAAGCCAGCCTACACGGAACAGCTTCAGATAAAGACCTGTGAGTGTCAGAACTTCTACATCAATACCACAGATTTTACAAACCATCACTGTACTAATTTAATTTTACTAAAAGTATATATTTATGAAAGTATTGATTTGGTCCATAATGCCCATCCTTACTCTTAAGCTTATAATTAGGACAACATTTGCATGATAGACACTTGTTCCTGAGCATAACCACTTAAACCTATGTCACTGTTAACACTTTTGACATGTTGTACTTAAATGTTGTTAAACAATATATTTGCAATTTTCTGAGCTCTATTTTTAAAGAAAACTTTTGGCAAAGTCAGAGCATGGTATGATTTAATTGTGTGTGTGATCATTGCTTTAATGTCAAGTAACTGTTTTGTGTTTTTCATCTAGATGTTAAAAGGTCAGCGCTGGGGTTACTGTTGTGGGTAGCAGTCCTTACAACTTGGATCATCATCTTCCAGCACTTCAGAGCAGAGTGGGGGGAGGTGGGAGATTACCTCTCCTTTACAATTCCACTGGGCATTCCTTGAGATGTTTTTTGATGACAGGTCTTTTGAAAAAATAATCAATGATCCACCAAAATGGACCAAAGAATTTTCTTTATTAAACTAAAGTTAAAAAAAAAAAATGATTTGTCTGATTCCTGGAGCTAAATTCAATGGCTGAGTAAGACACTAACAGAGCAATCCTTTATCTTTTCAGAAGTTAATCACGTATGGACTTGGAAATTTGTTTTTTTACTTGCCTTGGCATTTGAGAAAGTGTTGGTTTTGGAGTAGGCTAATTAATCTTGTAAAGCAGACACTGTTAATTGTCATGTACATTATCTACTAATGACCTGGATGTGCATTAAGGTTTGTTCAGGATATTGAACAATAGATTCAACAGTCTTTTTCCGTACTTAAAAATGTTTATTGTGAATGTTTGTATGTGAGTGTGTACCCAAAACTATTTTTACTTCTGTATGAATGATGAATAAAAAAATGTACTGTATTTCCCATGACAGGGCAGAATTTCTTACATACTCATACTCGAATATCATTATCACTTTAGAATCTATGAATCTGCATGGACATTTTGCTTGATGACCTATCGGTGAGCCATTTCTCTATATATACCCCTAATAGCCATTTCTCTATATATACCCCTAATATTTTTTGCATTGTCACAGAGGTGTCCTAAAGTCTGGACAGTCAGTGGCGCCTGTTGTGAAACCCAATAACTTAATCCCTCCAAATGTCGCCACTTCCCTGTCATCCTATATGAGTCATAACATAATCAGTGCCATTTTTAGTCACCTCAGTCAAAGCTTAAGTGACAGGTTCTACATTACTAACAGGGAGAACATGTGCCCTCTGACTTCACTAGTGTGTGCCAAGAACAAGCGGTATTAGCACAGTCCTTTTAATGATGCAGTGAGTAACTTAATAAAACTAATTTATGGGCAGTATATTTAAGAGTCCTTTCATGGACGTGTACTTTTTCAAAGTGTGTTGCAATTTATTTGTGTATTTAGAGTGAAGTGGTAGTAACTACATTTACTCATGTACTGTATATACAACTATAGGCACTTCCATTTCATTGTAGGTTATATTCCAGAGGTAAATATTGTTCTTTTTTCCCTTACTATATTCATTTGACAGCTATTTATTTGTTACTTTAATTGTACAGATTTTATTCAGAAAAAATCAAGCCAGTTAATCAAATTTAATATATTGTTCAAATACACAAACAAGCTGTCAAATAGATAAAATTAGCTCCACCTAGGCCGCTATTTATACATTATAAACCTATTTATACATTAGTACATAAATAATACACAAGTGAATTACACAATAGCACAACACCCACTACACCATGCTGTGCATTATGAGTGCTTTTATTTTGATACTGCCAAGTACATTTTTCTGATGAGGCTCCTGTTCTTTTACCTAGATGTTGAATGCAGGACTTTTACGTGTAATACAATATCTTACCAGTGACATGTGGCTACTATATCTATCTATACTATATGTCTTCTTCCACACTGTGAGAATGAGTGATGCGGTGAAAGTGTCCTATTGGTGGCACACGTGCTCTGGCATGTGTTTGACGCCCCTGCTGTCACTGTCTGTCTGGCAGCGGCTCACGAGGGTCAACAACACCGTCTTTTGAACTTATTTTTGGATAGACCTTCCTTGACAACAGACCTTAAGCATATAGTTTGTAACAGGTCTAATGACTAGGAATAAACTGCGGGCTACAACACTGGTAATGGCTGATAAACACGTTAATTGCCAATAAGTCCGCAACAGCTGCGCCCCTGCCCAAACAATACACTCTTATCCTATATGGCCCTGCCTGATCACCCAAGGGTACGCATTAGTCCAGAACATAACAGAAGCAAGGTGCCCCACTCCACTATGGATTCCCAGCTCATTATGTAACCCCAGTATAAAATACACCACAACAGTGAGTCGCGGCCAGCACCCAGTGGGAGAGGAGCTCGGAGCCAGACAGGCTGACGCACCAGTTCATCACTGGATCTCACTATATCTCATTCAGGACTTAACACACGCAGGGGAACACGAGCTGTTAAACAGGGGCTGTCCTTTCCGTCGTACACACTAACTTGGTCAGGGAATTTAAGAACAGGTAAGTGGTGTCTGCCATGTAGTCTGTCTGACAAGATTGTTGCCTCACTTGCTCTCAAGTCAACTCTTCTTTTCTAATTTTCATCTGATTAGAAATGGACTTCATCCTGCCACCTACTCTGCCAGCCGGTGGTATCCCATGGGAGAAGGTTTTACCACCTCTCATTCCTCGGCTGAATGGTACCTATGGACAATATAATTGGTCGCCGAAATTACTGATACCAGAGACTGATAATACCAGCCCTGCAGAGGTAGGTCATTTTATGAAAAACTCATACCAAATGGCTTTTTATAGTGGTACCTTGTTCAATAAACTGAGAATCCCCTCTACCTATTTGAAAAGTTGTCTCCCCATTTTTTAAAGCAAAGAATAAATGTAAAGAAATACTGAATCAATGTCTACTTAGGAGCCTTTTCCAGAAAATTCAACTGCATCTAGTCTTATTTCAGCAGATGAAGGCCCCCAAGATGCAGTTGAAAGCCCCAAAAAAGGATGCAATAGAACTTTTTTTTTTTCATCAAATTATTGCTTCCAAGGTCAAGATGAAGTTCCACACCCAAAATTTGTTAAGGATATCTCTTAAGTGCAAGACTGGACAGGACTGATGCTATTGCTCTTGCTATTTATTGTGCATAGAGGCATTTTATTTCCATATAATAATACACAGTATTTTGACTCACTTTTGCAGGTGAACTGTGATGACACTGGATTTACAGTTCAAGTTGATGTTAAGCATTTCAACCCAGAGGACCTCATGGTTAAAGTCATAGGGGACTTTATAGAGGTTCAAGGAAAGCATGAAGAAAAGAAGGTTTGTATTTTAGGTGGAACATTTCCAAATTTTTATTTGGGTTTATTTACAACAGCTATGAGGTGTTATCCTCTGAATTTGTGTTACTTTCTTTTGTCTTGTTAAAAGGATGGTCCTGGGTTTACAACACGGCAGTTTAACCGCCGCTACCGAATCCCAAAGGGAGTGGACACCATGGCTTTGGAGTCAGCAGTCTCTCCAGATGGCATCCTTATCATATCTGCACCTATGCTGGAAAATGACAACTCCAGATCCCTGACCTAATCACATTAATACCATACAATCAGATCACTCTACCATATTCACCATGTATGACAGCAAATGCAACAGAAGCCAGAACACACAGGCACAAACAGAAATAACTTCAGGCTCCTCCAGTCACAGCAACACTCCGCATGTGCCAAAACACACATTTGTCCTGTTCTTGGCAGTGTTCTAATATTCCCTGCTCTCTGAGGTTTGTATATACTGTTCTGCTAATATTCATCAATCTTACATAATGTTTCAAGGAACTAGTCTTTGTAAATATTCTGCGTTCACGTATCAAACTGCTGTTTTTTTTGTGAAATTTTTGTAAAATGCCCTGTATTGTGATTGTGATTAATGATGCACACACTTATCTCCAAACTCTTTAATGTGGAAATATTTCTTCAAAAAAAAGTACAAATAAACTTTATTTCTTTTATAAAAATAAAAAAAAGTGACTGCATCAAGTGCCTCTTGCTGGTGTTCAAGTATCTTGTTGTTCATCCACGACTTCATTCAACATAGAGTCCACTTCACTAAAAAGAAAAATAGAAGATTATTTTTCTGGAATTTGGGGTGATATGTTTAGATGATTCTGAGTGTAAGAGTGTAAGAGCCACATTTCATAGGATTTTAAGACTGACAGCCTTAAGGAAAAACATCAGTTTACATCAATGATGGCAATCACTTTGACCAGATGAACAATTTCTTTATATTTTACCTGATTTGCTCCTTTACCCATTTTCTCTGTTTCCGGAGGACTTGTAACAAAGGGTCGTCATCAAACTCCTTTTCATCTGAATCTGAAATGGAAAAAAAAAAAAAAAAAAAAAAGAAGTTCTGTTGTGAAGGTAATGATCAGCCAAGGAGAGGGATAATAATGGAATATTATCAGCATGAACCATAATAGTACTGAAATCCTCAAAAACAGCATGCAGTTAAGACTACCATACAATCCAACATGGAACACAAGTGTGCAACAAAAATACAGAAAGTTCGAGGGCTTTTGACCTAAAGGGGCTTGGAATGCTGGGAATGGAAGCTATTCATAGGTCACAATATATTCTCCACAATTAACTACAGGGTAAAAGGTTGGTGCTCTTTGCTGCCATGAGCTCACCTTCAGCCTCTTGCAGCAGCTGTGAGATGACCTCCATAGAGTTCTGTGTATTACATGGAGGAACTGTGGATTGTGGAGGTGCAGAGGCAGCACAAGGAGGAGAAGCCAAAGTGACGGGGGACCTCTGAGCAGGTGATGAATCCACCGTAGAGAACAATACCTCTGAAACTACCTGTCAAGGCCCAGAGAGAACACCCTACTGGTTAATGCACCTTTTAATTACAATGCTTACACCAGATGATGATGTCTAAAAAAATACAAAGTGTGCAGAGTAATGGCAGCACTATTTAAGAGCTGTGGTAAATGCAGTATATTTTAGTGTAAGAATTTTTGCTTTTTATTATATTATTCTAACATGGTTAGTAATGAAGCTGTGTATCTTAAATTATTTAGTAGGACAATATCACATACAGTCAACCTCCTGAAGACAACATGGAAGGATAAATTCCCACAATATCTCGTGTATGGTTTTCTTACATTTAATAAATCACTTCATGTAAACAAGAGTGAATATTAAATCTAAGATTTACTAATCCTCACAAATTACGGTGTACTGAGCAGTAACACTGATATCTTTCAGTGCATCGCTGCTTACAAGTTATCAAGTTATTAATGCAGCAGGTAAAACTTTAAGACCAAAGAAGCAGACAACCTCAATTCTTTAAGGCTCTTGTATTAGTCAAACTACATAGAGAGCATGAAAGAAACAACCTGAGAACAGTTGAAGTTGGTAAAAAAGAACCTTTGCTGACCTGTCCTAAGGCACTGTGGATTGGAGAAGGTGGTGGTGCATAATCACCAGTACAGCTCTCACTAGAAAAGCTCTGGCTTCCCTCCTGTTGCTGCTGTTCAGCCAATGGCATGACCTTTTTTGGAAGTCTTTGATGTGGAGAGCTCCTCTTTGTACAGCTGGGGCCATCCGTATGTTGCTTGTCCACAGTATATCTGCAACAAATCTATATTAAGCATTCAGACTTGAATTTTTGTACACCGTGTGCATGTTTCAATACTTCACCTTGTTGATTTCTTTTGTCTTCTGATGGACGTTGCCGTCTTCTTCTCAGTCTTCTCTGACTCTTTTCTCTGAGCTTTCTCTTTCTTGTTACTCTCAAACCTTCTGTTGTGAAGAGGCCACTCTTCTTCTATAGCTCCAGATGAAGCACATGTTGAGGATGATATATGTTCACGAATAGGTTCATCAGTCACGATATCTGCTGAGTTACCAGGGATTTGGGTCTTTTTACTGACAACTTTGGTGTGGGACTCGTCTAACCTCTGTGAAATGTTCTGTTGTGCACGAGGATGAGATGACTGGATGGGACAGGGTAAGACATCACAGAGTAAATGCATATGGGCAGGAACATGGGCAATACTCTGGGGTTGAGAGACAGAAGAGCCAGAGACAACATAGACAGGAGAGGGAGGTGGACCTGATGCCGGGGGACATGATCTGTGCGCTTCTTTGACTTCTGGCTGGGGTGCAATGACGTGTGGATGACTATTTCTTTGTGTGAGTTCAGGAGGTGGAGGGCTCTGTTGTTGCTAGAGATGACAAAAGAAAGAGGACATTAAGATTATTACGTAAATCTGAAATAAATATTGAACCAATTGAAAAAAATATCATGCACTCCAACCTTGTAAGCCTGTCCACCAGCTGAGGGATGGCTTAAACTGGGTGCCTGCCAGCTAAAGGCGGTAGACTGAAGACTGGAGTGGTTCAGGGGCTGAGGCCACTCTCTGGCCTGCTCCATCTTTCTCCTTAAACGCCACTGGAACAAGATGTCCTCTTCCGGACGTGTGGGAGGCACCAAAGAAGGAAGGACAGATTTGTGGGAGGACACAGCTTGAGCCCGGTTGGATCTGGATCTGGCCTGCGCTGTAAATGTTAAGCAACACATTGCACAATTACACTGCCACAACAGTACAGTTTAAAATACCATTTATGAAAAAAAGAGTCATATTCTATAAGTTGCGTAAGACGGAACAGCACTATGCATGTTTACATTGGAAGAAGACAAGAAATGGTATTCTACACCACACTGTTGCCTTACCTGTAGTAGATTTTATTAAACTAGGAATCAAAGGTCGTCGCACTGGCTCATCTACGCTGACTGGAGAAGAGAAATCAGAGCACCCCAGGCCCTCTGAGCTGACAGGGATAGATCCATCACTCAGAGTGCATTCACTGTTAGAAAGACAACAAGTTACTTACATTAAAAGGAATTAGAATTATCATTAATGTTACTCACTGGTCTTCATACTCTCTGAGCAGAAGTCTGCTGGCCTTCTCCTGAAGGTGTAGTATCTCTGTGTCATCAAATTCACCCAGGGAGGTGTCTGACAAAATCTGAGAAAACAACAGGCAGTACTCTCAATAAGCCACAGTTCTGCTCGTTACATTTTTATATTAAAAGCACTCGCAACACTGTAAATTAAATAGAACTAAATAATGACATTTGTAGCATTTGAGTAAAAAAAAATAAAAATCTAATCCATCACATTATCTGGCCTTAAATTGCTAACAAATATACTAATGTTTTTTTAGAATTTTATGAGCGTGATAAATTTGACATGAGCAGGCTGAGCGAGCCATAAATGTATCAAACAAGGTTGCATAAGAGATGGCTTCCCCGGCATTTAGTAAACACAGAGGTTTCCAAATGGACATGTGGTGTGGTGTTGAAATGCAAATATTTATATGCACACTTAGTTGGAAAAAGGTGTCTCCCTTGCAGACAAACATGGCATAAGTTGGACATGGGAGACCAACTAATCCTTTAAAACAGTATATGCAAAGATTAAAAACAAGAATAGTTATAGTATCCATTTGTTTTTAACTTTTGAAAGAAATAAATATACATTTTTAGGTTAGGGAGTTGGGGAAGTAAGACATTTCTTACAAACAATACATCTATTATTCTGTTTAGTAGAGAAAGACAATATAATAACAGGTTATATCGCAGCTCATTCCAAGTACACTCACACTAAGAGATCCTCTGCATGGGGAAGGGGATCTGTCATGTCGATGCTTTCCAGCTGGACTGAAAATGGCAGGCATGTGATCATCTCTCAGATCTGTTCAGAGGAAGGGATTCCACAGTAGGACTTTACTAGAAATGTTACCATCTCCACCTGAATTTAGGAGCAGCTAACAGTCAGTAACTCCTGCACTGAAAGATAATAATAGGTGAAAATATACCTGTGTCTGCTGTTTTAGTTGGTGTTGAACTGGGAGGTAAAGATGATGGTGACATCCACCAAAAAGGCAGCTGCTCCTCTCCGATTGCAGAAGCCATTTGCTGGCGCGCCTCTCGACTCTGTGGTCGACCGTGACGAAAACGTTCTATGTATCTGAAAGGCCACAAGATCAGAGCTGGTTACAATTACTCATTCCCACAGTTCCCCAGAGTTCCCACTGATGTGTTTCTTTTATCTTTCAGTCTTCACATCACAGTTATCATTGTCATGTTCAGTCATGTCTTGCATCGTGCAACTTTTCACAGTGAAAAATGTTACAGGTCTATTTAAAAGGATAAAATAGGGCACAGGCACAGGCTACGTTTGAGGGTATGGTCTTGACTCTGTGAAATTAAAGCATACTTTGCCAGCACTGAATCCTGCTGAACTCCCAGTTCAGAGGAAGTGGTGGATTTCCCTGCTCTTGCAGACTGTTTAGGTATCTCCATGTCAGATGATGTTGCAGGAGAAGATCCGCAGTCGGTAGTAGGCCAGGACTCTGAAAAAAGATGTTGTCCATCTGGTGCAGCAAAATGGGGGTCATGTCTGTTAGACAGCTGTTGGCTCTCTGGACTCAGAGACTGTAGTTGTGGACTGGATTGCGGGTTTGAATGTACTGGACTTAAAGTCTGCAAAAGAACAGAGAAGTGACAGATATGAGGAAAGCAACATTAGAGTCAGATGTGTCTTGTTGTATGTGCTACGTTTAAGACATACTGTTTTCTTCTGTTTTTTGGAGAGGGACTGGTTGCAGGATGGGTGGTAGTGTGCCTTTCCCACTCTGGATGCTGGTTGGAAGGGATTCTGCCTTGTGAACAGAGAGCCACTGCAAAAACAACACACGTGACTAATTGTAACTATGGTTTAAGGTACTATAAAAAAAATGTGTTCTTGAGATCTTACCTGGATTTCATGACAGCTTCTGAAAGTCACAGTTCACAATAGCACACAGGACAGGAAACACAGTAGAGGTTGTTTCACTATGCCTAGTTTGAGCTAAACTCTTTGTATTCAGGTTATAGCTGGATCGACATGTCTGACTGCCTGGGTTACTTACATCTTACTGTAATATGACTATTAAGACGAACACCACATTATCTACTTCAGCCTTCCGAGCTGATTTGTTGATGATTTGGCATGTCCACAAAAGAAAGTTACCATGGAATCAAACGAGATGTACGGATAAATCAAGCCTCTACAACGAGCATTTTATAGATCTTTCCATCCATTCTACAAGTCTAACTTTTTGACTCACAATATAATAACTTTCCTCTTTGTGGCAAATAAAGCCTAATACTATCGATGAAACAAGAAGAGAGCGTGACTGTTTACGCCGATCGTTATTTACTTCAAGACATCCAGCCAATGGGCGCCGAGCTTAGTATGATGGACGTGACATTTACCCAATCACGTAGAAGGGCCTCATCGGACAGGCGCCAATCAGTTAACAGGAAACCGGCAGCGCGCGGAAGAGGAAAGTCTGCAAAGGCTATGCGATCGTCAAAAATAAGCTAAGTTAGCAATGGTAATTTCAGCTAGTAAGTGCTATGGTCCAATATAATAATAAAACAACCGCTCCACCGTATCATTCAAGTGAATGTGTGGAAGGACTAACTGTCATTCAACTAATCGTTATAATAGGTAAACTTGGATAAAGTTGAGTTTGCGGTCTAGCGTTGACGTTATACAATGGTTACGGCTAACGCATAACCGCAGCTAGCTAGCAAACGTTCACGTTAGCAAGCAAACGTCCTGTAACAGTCATACGTTATTTTTCTCAAGTAGTTGTTACGAGTCGTTATCATCCTTAAAGACTGAGAGCAGTCCGGTTACCGACAGTGAACGCTTGGCTTTAAAAGTAGGTGTATTTTTTCTTAATTACCGTGTGAAATATATACGACAAAAGGCGGAGACAATGCATCACGTCAAGATCAAGACTGAAAGGCCAGGTGAGCGGTGTACCCTATCCACCGAAGTTATTTCCATTCAAGTCTTCCTGACGAAGACTATTGCATATGGCATTATATTCACTATTCAAATTCAGCATTGTAATGTCACCCACATTAAAGAATATTATCACCTTACTGTGGATGCAGTTAGTAATTATTATATATGTATACAACTTTAATCATGACTTCTGCAGATTTAGAGGGGACTGGTGCTCGCAGCAGATTGGATGCTGTGTTAAAGGGACTGGTTGAGAAGAGTGAAAATGAAAGGTCAGAATTATTATATTATTATTATGAAAGTATTTTTTTAAATCAGCAATGTATCATTGTGATTGTTTTCCAGTCAGACTAATATCATTGAATTTTGAACAGGGAGCAAAATGAGGGTGACACTGGAAAAATATCATCGGACGCTTTAAACAAGTATGGGTCGACGATTTGGATTTCAGTTTTATATGTAGAATTTTGTGGAATAAATGATATACTGTGGTTGGTGCTGTGGAGTCACTTAATGTGTGCTTTTTCAACATAAAAGTACAAAGGTCTGTTTTTGTGTTTTCCACTTACCCTTTCTAGGGATTTGTCTCCATCATCTGCTGGAAAAAGGCAAGTGTATGTATTTTTGATCCTTAGCTGACAGTAGCTCAAAAACACTTCCACAATTTTTTTTGTCTTATTATTTGTGTCTGAAAAAAACATTTCACTGTGGGGCCCCTTTGTCAATGATTTTATCTTTATACATTAAAAAGTTTTTTCTCTGCGTACAACAATAGATTAATAAAAACACACAAGACGCAGTAACTATTGTGAATTTTCAAGACATGAAATAAAGTTTCCATACTTGTTTTGATTTTTGATTTTTTTTCCCCCAGACCTTCAGCTCGATTTCCACAGCATCGGAGGAAGAAGAGAAAAGAAATGGATGAAGGCATACCAGAGAGCAATCAGCATAAACAAAGTAAACTTGCAAATACTGAAAACAATTCAACAATAAATTCCACTGTAGCATTTGTCCTTTTTGTCCCTCAGTTACTGTGTGATCACTTTGGCTTTTTCTTCATTGTTCAATTACTTACCTTTTCTTTTTCTTGCTGTTCTGTCTTTCTCCATTTGCTAGATGCTTACATTATTAAGTTGTTTGATCGGAGTGTGGATTTGGCTCAGTTCAACACCAGCACCCCACTGTATCCTATCTGCCGTGCCTGGATGAGAAACAACCCGTCTGTTCGAGAGCCAGCTGCTTCCCCGAGCCCCCCACACAGCATGGTAGAGGAAGAGGTGAGGCTATACATGATGAATAATTTTAATTTCATTCAAAATATGCAAACATCACCAAAAAGTTTTAAAAGCGTATTCCTTTGTGCAGTAGGGACTCTACTGTTATTGTGGCCAATTGCTCTGGAGGGAGTGAGCTGAAGGGATAATAAACAATAAGTACTTCAATAATAAACAAATGTTCTTTTCCTATTTCAAGGAAAATAAGGGCTGTAATGAGTAATGAGTACATAACAGAGAGCTTTTGGAAAAACAAGCATCGTAAAATAAAGTGCTTAATCTTAGAAAAATTAAATAAAAAGTGAAGCTTGAGTTTCCCTTTTTCTTCTCTTTTGTGAACTCCATTCACATCTTAACAGTCACAACAATTTTTATAATAAACAGTCTCAACACATCAGACAGTTGCACAGCTTAAACACCTTTTCTCTTTCTTTCCCTCTTATTTCTCACTCCCCTTATTTTCCCACTTATTTCTCCAACTGTTGTCTCTGATCTCATCTCTCCCCCATGGGTGTGTCTCACTCACTGACACGAGTCGCAATGTTTGACTGAGTAGCATCATGTGAGATGATTTACAATGCATTCAATGAACTTGTGAGTTTCCTGGGCGGCTCAACTAGTGGTGCAAAGGCTAGAAAAGGTTCTCAATAATTTATAGGTTATAGGGGCATGTTCGGATAGGATGGCTTTTGGGTCTGTGATCTCAGCACTATACCTCATGCAACTTTGTTGGACTTTGCAATAGCAACAATATAAAATGCACTTAAAAACACCATAAATATGAACAGGTTGGTTGTTAAAAAATTGGGACAGAGTACTTGGATTTTTAAAAATGCAGCATAGTGTGTCTTTTAATTTTATGGATTTGTATATGTTTTCATACAAGGTCTTATTTCATTGATTGTAAATGGTTGAAATACAAAATGTTTGTATGACATAATCTAACACTGATGCACAGGGGCACAGTTATACTGGGCTCTTACAAGTTATTATCAACACTCTGTCTCTGTCAGAACAACATAAAGGCACTCCCTTGTGGCGAAGCAATATAAAAACTGCTAATGAAGACAGCAGTGTTTAGCCTGTGAGAAAGTGTGTGTTTATTGTTTGAGGAATGGTGAGTTGCCTTTGCATATTTCAGTTGTAATTTTTTCAGTGTTTTGAGTACTACAAAAAATTCCATCCCCATGTTTGGTGTATGGAGGATATGTCTCAGCAGTAGAGATCTCAGAATCCCTACAGATACAACTGAAACTGCATATGTGCATAACTAAACCACACTGTGGGTAACACCACTGTACCAGTGTAAAGTATATATATATATAGTATATATATATATATATATTATTACTATTAGTAAGTGTGAAAATATTTGTATTAATTTTGTAATTTGTCTGAACTGATCATTTAAAACACTTATCATTAGTATGTTCATTGATTTAGATTAAAAATGTCTTTGAAACAGTGAAATACAAATCTAGTACTTTCTAGAATGTAATTTTTAAGTCCTAAAGAAGGTATTTTGTAATGGTCTTTGAACATCATAACACCAGGAATAACTTTGTGTGAATGGGTGTTCCACTGTGTTCCTTTTTCTAAATTTTGTTCTTTTGCCAGGTCACGGACATGATCAATGGTAAAGGCCAGAATGTGTACAGACTCCCTCCTCCATCCTCCTGTCCAAACAGCACTTCTGGTGAACCCATCAATCTCAGGATCCCACATACTGAAAAATCCACTGTTACCAAGGTTCTGTATAATATGTGCATGACAATTATTGATGGTATTTTATTTGCATTGTGGTATTAGATTGCAGACATGTATTATTAAATCAAGTTCATTTGTTAAAAAGTTAACGAAAGAACTATAACTAACAAAATCATTTTCTCTCCCCACAGTTGACAGATTCAGTCCCTGTATCAGGTTCTCTCATATGTGACCACATGGAACGTTGGAAAAAGATAAGGCAAAAGTATGTCTTCATGAAAAGCCATTTGAGTCCCACTATAACTCGTACCTTTTATTTTTGTTGAAAAGAATTATTCACATTTTCATTGACCTGTGTACTGTACACAGCCGACATCAAGGTCAAGGTTTCATCCATGGGTATTCTGTGTGGTGCTAAAGGTGTGTGACAAGCTGTTAATGTCTGATGTATACAGTGTGTTGATCTTTGTCAAAATCTGTAACAGTTGACCAAAGAGCCTGACTTGAAAACAAAATGATTTTATAATTGTTCTGTTCTGAACAGAAGCAGACTTTTAAAGTTGTTCTTTCATGCATTTCAGCACCTACCACATAACCATAAGCAAACTGCATGTCAGTTAGTGTTCGCTCCATCCCAGCTAAGCTTGCTGAATGGGAGAAAAATATATAACCTTTAACTATGCTCACATTTCCAAATTTAGAGTTGTGATAAAAGTGGATAAGAATATGAGCATATTGTATAAAGGTGTCTATTCTCACATTAGAAACTGGAAAAAGTGGTGTAACCATGAGATTTTGTAATGAACAGTCTACGAAAATACACTATAAAAAAGTTGAACAAAATAACTGATATTTATTGCTCTGTTTTCCAGATGGAAGGAGTGCTCCAACAAGAACCAACTAAGATACAGTGAGAGTATCAAGATCCTAAAGGAGATGAAGGAGCTCTATGATCGCTAACTGGCTTCCTTATAACTCCATCACAGAATGGACTCTCTATACAGTTGGAATGGAGCCATGCCATAGGACTCAATGTCTGAATACACCTGCCATCTAAACAATCAGACTCATAGGGAAGTATTAACCGAAAATGGAGCCTTAAATAGACCATACGTCCTATGCATTGCAGATTTTTTGTTTTTGAAAGATGTTTAAATTTGATGCAATTTCTTATGCAGGAGTTTCTTTTAGTGTGATGTGAGACTGTTTTTAATCATAAAAAAAAGCTACATATATGTCTGAATAAATTAACTCATCAGTAGTATTTTTCCATAAAAAAAGTGACTTGTGTATCTGCAACATTAACAAGACTGATTAAAATCCGTTGTGGTCTCTTCCACTTTCAGATTTGCTCCCTTGATTTCCACAAATGTCAAGCCCCAATAACTGCAAACATAATTGTATTTTCATGCCTTAATCTAAAGTGGAATGTCAGTTACTAAACATCATTAAAGACGTAATGTCGCAGATGTGGAGATACAGGAACTACTGTGCAGTCAGAAAGTGCTAGAATAACAAAGCTTTCATCTGTGTTACAGCACATTGGATTTGAAATCATGAAACATAGAGAAATCTACACCAGATGAACAGCTTAGAAACTGCAGCCTTTTATAACTGCACTGTAGTACATGCTCTCTTTGTATACAGAGAGGGGAGAGTTAACACCTTCAGAGTAAGTGTTTTGTGAGATAAGGAAATTATCTTGTCAAACAATTACGTTTTTGTGTTTCACATGTTTTTCTTCCATTGACTTACTGAAAACAAACAGTTGAGGTGAGGTGAGGTGGTTTCAAGTCATCAGAGACTGGGCTGATATAGAGGATATGTTTCATTTTGTAAACGCAAGAAGCGAAGTATATACCACTGATGTTCTGTACAGATAACGCACCCATCTTCGAATAGTGTGCACTCGTGTTTGTCATGTAGAAGGAAGAAAACACGTCATCAAAAAAACGTTTTTATTCAGGGTATGAAAATGCATAAAGCTCAATTATTTAAGTCCAGTCTTTTATGACAGTATCATGAATCGTGCTATGGACAATAAGCCTGTCTGTTAACAAAGGTAAATAAGCTGGATCATAAAAACCTACAAAAATCAAGATAAACATAAAACAGGTATCTTCACAAAATGAGTTACACATACTTCTTTATCTGATCATACAAAGTAATTCACTTTTAAAACTGGATGTTCTTTGAAAAACTTTACTAAGATTTACATCTTGAAAGCAGAAGCACGCTTACTAAGTGTTAGTTGATTTGCTTATTTACACATTGGAAGCTACACGATGTCATCAATCTACATCTAGTAAGAAAAAATCTGGAAGTTGTAACAGGTGAAACAAAAATAACGGGGGCTAGATGAGGGGAAGTCTTATAAGCCAGCAGTTGATGAGTAGGCACTTTAACATAAAAGACATTGAAATCACACATAAAAATATACTAATTTTCTTCTATGCACAGATTGGCAGTTTCAGACTGATCTACTTTTCTCTCTACTGATTTACAAAGAAAAAATTAAGTATCCATTACAATTTACTTTGCCTGCCGGATGTGGTGGTCTTATTCAGTGCTCAGTGTTTCCCTCTCCCCAGTTTCGAGCACTTTGCTTTCTGTGAAGTTTAAGGAAGTGCCTGTGCCTTTCCTCTCTGTAGGTGCAGCAGATTCAGACTTCCGGGAAATCCGTGAGAGGTGGGAGGACAAGGAGCGAGAGGACATAAGTGACAGGCGGTCCTCTGCTAGGGCACTCTCTAAGACTAAGCATATGGACTGCTTGAGCTTCCTCTGGAATTCATCACACATAAACACATAGAGAATGGGGTTCAGGCAGCTGTTCATAAAAGCCAGACACAAAGTTATAGGACCTCCAGTTTTAACTATCTCAAATAGTTCTGGGTTAGTTTCAATCTTTAATTCCATAAAATGAAAAACATGGAAGGGCAACCAGCACATGAAAAATGCAAGAACTATAGAAAAAATAATTCGCTGAGATCTACGAGTCCTTGTCCTATTTAGGCGCCTTGCACGAACCCCTATGGCCACATAGGAGGCGCATATTACCAGGAATGGGATGAGGAAGCCCATAACAAAGCGAAAAGTGGTGAGAATAAATTTTGGTGTCTTTTTCGAATAAGTACAATAAGTCTTCCCCTGCATTGTCTGAAGATCACGAAAAGTTGCATAAGGGATGCTGCATACCACAGCAGCCACCCAGATGACAGCAGTTATGATCTGAGCTTTGCGAGTGGTCCGCTTGTTTTGTGCCCACACCACCACCCAGATGGACAGACAACGGTCCAGGCTTATGGCCATCAGAAGAAAGACGCTGGCAAACATGTTGACTACACTCACAAAGTTATTGAGCTTGCACATGAAATGTCCAAAATGCCACTGGTACTCCTGAGAGACACTGATGATTGTGAAAAGCAGGAAGGCCGTAAAGAGGAAGTCAGCCAGGGCCAGGTTGAGAAACCAAATTGAGTTAACTGTTTTCTTCATTCTGCAGCCTGTCACATAGATGACCAAACCATTGCCCATTGTCCCAGCCAGAAATATCACAGAGTAGATGACCATAGTGGCTATAGCCAAGTAATTGTATCTGCCAGTCCTGTCCAACCCAGGTGATTTGCTTGAATCGGAAGTGATGCTGACTAATGGACAAATAAAGAAATGTGTTATTAGAAACAACTGTTGCTTTAACACATTTTGCAGTAAGCACTGAGAAAACAAAGAATTTAGTTATAACCAGACTATGTTAAAGAAAATCAGATTTTAATATACTTAAGATGATTTTGTAGTTTTTATCATTGTATTGAAAATGTTCTATGCAACACTAGCTCCCACTATAATACTAGGCTGGGCGAGGTCACATAATACTTTTTACTAAATTGCAAGTTGACTTTACCTCTGATATTCAATCTCTGTTGCAAGCAGAAAGTATGACCTATTAACTAAAAAAAAGTTTGTACCTTTTTGTTAGTGCAATTTAAAAGGAATGCAATTATATGTTTAAAATATCTTACCATTCACCATTTTTCCTGTGCGATGATAGTCTGTCTTTATTCGAAGTTGATCTGTATGTGTTACAGCCTGTACTCCTCCTTTCTGACTCTTGATTACTCCTCCTTCTCAGTTAGTGCAACTGCCAATGAAACATAACTTCTAGTGCTGCTGTAGCTGTGCTAGAAGTAATCCACAGCAAGTAGACACAGTAGCAAGAACATGTTAGAATATAATGCAATCCAACAGGACTGCATGATCTTAAAACTACTGGAGCTAATTGAACATAACTCTAATAAAGTCTTGGCAAAAGCTGAAATAAGTTCCAGAATGATAGTATTTATTGCAGGGCTCTCTTCTTTATATGTAATTATTCTGGAAAGTAATTCTTTTTTTCAGACCCACTATTGTAAGACCTAGATTTGTCTTTGAACAAATGCAATAATCTCAGATCTTATTAAACTGCTTTCCATTTGCAGTTTGATCTTTATCTTAAACTGGCTGTTTGTTATTTGCACAGCACACCTTAGCACCCACCAGTCACACATACAGTTTGCATAACACTCCAGCGTATCAGGCGGAAATGAATGCAAGACATGAAACAAATACTAGTTTTCTTAAAAATTTTATGCACGCTTTCTCATAAATGCACCAAACATAGTTGTATGACGTGTGATGACATTAGTTGGAAGCAACAGTCTGGTCGATCCACCTGCGCAGGTAGGACACTCGGGCATACACAGCAGGGGCACGCACATTGCAGTTAGAGGTACCCCAGGACACAATACCCATAAGGGACCACACTCCACTGTTCTCGCAGACCAGAGGACCACCAGAGTCACCCTAAAATGAGACAAACGTGCTTTTCTTATTGACTTTTAAGAGCATGCATGAGGTCATATAATAGAATAAAACCTTGGCTCAAGCTCTTGACATCGCTTGATTTTTTTCTCTACAGCTCTCTACAGGATGTGGGCTGGCTTGCCATTAGTATCAAAATACATCAAGAAAACAAAAGCTGCAGGGTGTCAATGTTGCGTAACAAGATACAAGAAGTTATGCTTTTTTCGTTATCAAGTCATTTACAAGCCATTAGTCAACAAAGTAATACTTTTCTTTTCTAGTTGCTGGTTTGCAAAATCTATACATGGTTATTTTATGTATTTTGTTAATACTGAATTATCCATTATCAATCTGGATATTATGTGTATATTATTTGAAAATGTTTAAGTAATGATTCATTGACAAATGATCTGTTAGTATTCACTAACAGTTCATCAACAATCATTAATCAATCCCTATAGATTACCTACATTTATGATATATAAAGAAATAATTTGTCACTTGCAAATGTACAAAAATCATGTGGACAATTGGTTTACACCTGATTTGCAGATGTTTTGAAGAATTACTTATTTTTCCTACAAATGTGTATTTCAGGCTTTGATATGGTTGTTACCTGACAGGAGGACACTCCAGAAGCACCAGCACAGATCATGGCATCAGTGATTCTGTTGTAACCCCAGTACTGCCGGCACTGAGCAGGGCTGAGCAGAGGCAGGGAAGTCTGCTGCAGGTAGCGGGGGCTTGCTGAGAGCGGAGAAGAAATGGAGATGGGGTTAGCTACACAAACAAATCTTTTACATCTTTCTCATGGAGGTTTGGTGAATATTTTGTAGTGGTTTTATATTTTTCCTTTGTGGAATTGGAACTGTTCATACAGTTTATGTCTGTTTGTAAATTTACCCTGTGTGTAAGACTTAGAAAGCATTCTCTCACTCACAGGTTTGGCCAGTCTTGCCCCATCCAGTGGTGACACATTTAGTTCCAGATGGGATGCTGGTGCTGGAGGAGGCCAGGCACACAGGAGACACACGGGATGTCATCTGCACTGGGGAAGACAGCCTCAGAAGGGTGATGTCATTGTTGAAATTCTGGGAGTTGTAGTAGGGGTGAGTGATGGCCTGGATGGAGAGGTGAGCATAAATCACAAGCAAATATAATGTCATTTTACTTCATTGAGGCAAAGCTTTACATTTTTATAAAGGAAAAAAAAAGGCTTCACTGTTATTGTGTTCCTTACCCTGGCAATGTTCTTGACCTGAATGGGCTCACCGTTGGACTGACGATCATGTTCTCCCAGGATAACACGGTGGTTTCTAGGACTGTAGAGAATAATAACAGACAAAAGAGTTATTACAGAGATGGCAGTGTTGGGATTTTTCTCATGTAGATGTGGGACATATCAAAGTTACTTACGACACGCGGCAGTGAGCAGCAGTCACAACCCAGTACTGGTTGATCAGGGATCCTCCACAGAAGTGGAATCCTCTACCATCCTAGGAATCAGAAGATGCATATTCATAGTCTTTTCCTAATGATATTTCTTTCATCTGAATTACGCATGGTGTTGAAATTTTAGCAAAACTACAGGGACAGTGGGTGTGGACAGTTGCAGTACATAGGCTACCTGAAGTGAAACCTGCCAGGGCCAGGACCCAGACACAGCCGTCTCCCCGTTTACAATCTTGTTGTATCCGCTCACTTGGGGCTTGATAGCAGGCACTCCACAACCTGAGGCCCAGTCACACAATCAAAAAATCATGTGCTTCTCCCAAAATATGGCATATACTGTACATACTAGGAAATGTCAGAATGTGTTACGATTATTATTTATTTATTTTATTTAGTTATTTCTTGCATGTGAGTATTTACAATTCTATTGATGTGCAAGGTGTCAAAGATTACCAATGATATCCTCAGTTGCTATTGTCACGATCAACTTTCATACAGATGAATGGATAATGTGGTGGTAAACTGTCAGTAACTCACCCAGTGCAGAGGTCACAAGGGCAAAACAACTGATGAACAAGAACATGACTGCCTCTGTGATTCACGTCCCTGAGTCTGAGCTGCGTGGGACACTGGCTTTTATATGTGGCTCTTACCCTGAGTTCCATGTGTTTCACTCCATATTTCAGGTACCCCCCCCCCCCCCCCCCAAACCGTCCAATGGGTGTGGTAGGTCAGGGAAGGGAACATCTGGTGATAAGCACCTGAGGTGACTTCTAACTGAAACAGTCACTTACTTGGTCTTAAGCTTGCGTTTGTCTTGTTCTTGTGCACTTGGGTCATGGCTTTTAGCAAACAAATTGTTGCAAAATCATTCCACTGGTAAGTTGCAATAACACCATGTAATTTTTAGTTTTCTGTAGTTTTAGAATCCACATGTTCTTGAATTCATGTTTAGGATGAATTTGCACCACCTTCTATATATTGAGCTATATTTACCCTTATTTCATTCCTCACGTATCAGCAGAAACAAGATGAAAATTGTTGCTCCTATTTTCTCTTTTTGACAACTAACATGTTTTTTGTGTGCTTTTTCATGAAGACATATCCTGTGAGTACTTCAAGCTAATGTTCAGATAAATGATAATCATCAAAACCTTTGTGGTGTGTTTACAGGAACCAATTTTATCTGCAAGTTTCAAGAGCTGCAAGTTGAGTGATCCTGTGCATACCTATTTTATGCATTATGAATATACTGTATATGAGTTATTCAGAAATGTAATGATATTTTCAATATAAATCACAACAAACAGTAGATTTTTCAATTCAGAATCCCATTGGTGATCTTTATTGAGTTAATCTTTTTTTTTTTTTTTTTTTTGGGCTTTTTGTGCCTTTAATGGACAGGACAGTAGAGAGACAGGAAGTGGGGAGACGACACGCAGGAAAGGGCCGTCTGAGGTGGGAGTCGAACCGGGGGCCAGCTGCAGCGAGGACTGTAGCCTCTACATATGGGGCGCCTGTGTAACGCAATGTGCTACGTGACACCCCCCTATTGATTTAATCTTTAGAAATCACAGACATTTATCACCCCACAAAGGGTGGTAGTGGAGAGATAAATGATGTTTGTAGGAGTCAGATTTAGTTGCTTGGATTTGTTAATGTTGTAGCAAGAATTTAAGTACAAATAAGCCTGTGATCTAATGTTTATTGGATGTGCATTCTGGCTAAGAAAATAACTTTAAGACAGTAAATTTGTGTTGGGATCTGAGGTATAGACACTGTCGGCAGTGTTCAGTCGACCTCCTCAATAGTTGGGCCAGAGGAGGAGCCACCTCCGGCTCCACCAGGGAAACCACCAGGCATTCCTCCTGGCATCCCTCCAGGCGCCCCTTCTGGCATACCACCCTGGTATAGCTTTGAGATGATGGGGTTGCACACTTTCTCTAGTTCCTTCTGCTGGTGATCGTACTCATCCTTCTCTGCCATCTGGGTAACAGAAGCAACAAGACTTCATTGCGACAGAGGACTTTGTTGGCTATTGTAAAAAAACAATATTAAAGGGAAGTTGATAATTGTTTCACAATGTTAAGACAAAATTAAACTCTGCTTTCACAATGCCAAAGAAGAATCTCTGTCTGTTTTCTGTCACGACTTATGGTTGAATGGATTTTTACCTGGTTCTTGTCCAGCCAGGCAATGACCTCATTGCACTTGTCTACAATGGCCTTTTTGTCCTCAGGGTTGATCTTGTCTTGGAGCTTCTCATCCTCCACAGTGCTCTTCATGTTGAAGGCCAGAGACTCGAGGGAGTTCTTGGCTGTAACCTTGTCTTTCTGGGCCTCATCCTCAGCCTTGAACTGCTCTGCCTCCTGCACCATACGCTCAATATCCTCCTTGCTCAGCCGCCCTAATGGAGGATGAAATTCAAAGCTCTGTATCTCCAGTACAAGATTTCACTATTTTCTCTCAGCTTTTGTGCTACATTCACTTTTTCAGTGCTCCTGATTTAAGAAGTATTTAATATGGTCGTCTACCTTTATCATTGGTGATGGTGATCTTGTTCTCCTTTCCGGTGCTTTTGTCCACAGCAGACACATTGAGGATGCCATTGGCATCAATGTCAAAGGTCACCTCAATCTGAGGGACCCCGCGGGGAGCTGGTGGAATACCAGTCAGCTCAAACTTGCCCAGGATATTATTGTCCTTGGTCATGGCTCTCTCACCTTCATAAACCTGAAAACAATTACTCAAATCAAATTCTGATGCATCAGTAAACACTTTAAAGATTAATTGTTATTGTAACTGTCATTTCTTCTTTACTTCAAGATTGCTGTACCTGAATGAGCACACCAGGTTGGTTGTCTGAATAGGTGGTAAAGGTTTGGGTTTGCTTGGTGGGGATGGTGGTGTTCCTTTTGATAAGGACAGTCATTACTCCTCCAGCGGTCTCGATTCCCAGGGACAGGGGCGTTACATCCAGCAGGAGCAGGTCCTGTACATTCTCAGACTTATCACCAGCCAAGATGGCAGCCTGCACAGCTGTGAAGAGTTTCGAAATGGTGAAACTGATGCCATGATGACTATGACTACTAAAATGAAAAAATAACTAGCAAATTTAAAAATTATAAATATAAATCCAAATGTGGTTGAGATATTCACCTGCACCATAGGCCACAGCCTCATCAGGGTTGATGCTCTTATTGAGATCACGGCCATTGAAGAAGTCCTGCAGTAGCTTTTGAATTTTGGGGATACGAGTGGAGCCACCGACCAGGACAATGTCATGGATCTGGCTCTTGTCCATCTTGGCATCCCTCAGGGCCTTCTCCACAGGCTCCAGGGTTCCACGGAACAGGTCTGCATTTAGCTCCTCAAAACGAGCCCTGGTGATGGAAGTGTAGAAATCTGTTCCTTCATAGAGTGAATCGATCTCAATGCTGGCCTGGGTGCTGCTGGAGAGGGTGCGCTTAGCACGCTCGCATGCTGTGCGCAGACGTCGTACAGCTCGCTTGTTGTTGTTGATTTCCTTTTTGAACTTGCGCTTGAACTCACCAATGAAGTGGTTTACCATGCGGTTGTCAAAGTCCTCACCGCCCAAGTGAGTGTCACCGGCTGTGGACTTGACCTCAAAGATGCCATCCTCAATTGTCAGGATTGACACATCAAAAGTACCACCTCCAAGGTCAAAGATAAGAACATTACGTTCACCGCCAACCTAAAGCAAATGATAAGAATAAGTAATAGGAACATAAAACAGGTTCAGATTTGCATTTAACACGTTAGTTACCTTTTTGTCCAGGCCATAAGCAATGGCTGCAGCAGTGGGCTCATTGATGATGCGCAGCACATTAAGCCCAGCAATGACTCCAGCATCTTTGGTGGCCTGACGCTGAGAGTCATTGAAGTAAGCAGGAACTGTTATAACCGCATTGGTTACAGACTGTAAAGAAAGTAAGACCTTGTGTCAATAAATAGCACTTGTGTGCTTACACTATTATACTTTTTAACTTCACTCATCATGATGCAAACATTGAAAACTGTGGTTAGAGGTCGCAATACACGTCTAGAGACTTTTTCTCAGAATGTCTTTTGAGGCATAAGAAAGTGCCTGCTCTGATTTTGAGATATTATATTTTAGATAAGGTTTTCTGTTAAGTGCAAACTTTCAAATATAAGGTAGTGTTTCCTGATTGTTGCATCATGCCATCTCCACCCTTTTATCTGCATATAACCAAGTGACCATAGGTCAACCATAGTATTATACGTTTGTTATCAACTACCTTGCCAAGATAAGCTTCAGAGATCTCCTTCATCTTGATGAGGACCATTGAGGAAATCTCCTCAGCGTAGAAGGTCTTGATCTCACCCTTGTACTCAACCTCCACCTTAGGTTTGGTAGAGTCATTCACAACCTTGAAGGGCCAGTGCTTCATGTCTGATTGCACCACAGGGTCGTCAAACTTACGACCAATCAGACGCTTAGCATCTGAAGTAGGTTTAAGAGAAAAATCAAGACACTGAAAGTCGCATGTTAAGTACACAGTGTATATACAGTAAATAACAAGTATTGACTTTTCTTCTTCAGAAGGATTAGTCGTCAACACAGAGAGGAGAAAAATAAACTCTGATCACTTTTTTGAGCCTATTCTCTTGTGGATGTAGCAATACTCACCAAATACAGTGTTGGTTGGGTTCATGGCCACCTGGTTCTTGGCAGCATCTCCAATCAGTCTCTCATTATCTGTGAAGGCCACATAGCTGGGCGTGGTCCTGTTTCCTTGGTCATTAGCTATGATCTCCACTTTGCCATGTTGGAAGATGCCCACACAGGAGTATGTGGTGCCCAGATCAATGCCTACTGCTGGTCCTTTAGACATCTTTGATAAACAAAAGAAACAAGTCAATAATTGTAGCCCTTTTGGTTTTGGACAGAAATCCCAGATTAGTGCATGTATTCATCATTGCTGAATAAAGATCAATATTCTTTCTGATGTGTATAATTGTAATTGTTTTGTACTTGGAATTTGTCTTTAGCCGGCTATGTCGTGGTGTGACATCAGTGGTTTAGGGCAGTGGTTCCCAACCTATGGGCTGGGGCCGTGAATGTATTGCAAGTGGGCCGACAAATCACAACAATACAATTTTGGTGAAAATATGTAATTATAGAAAATGATTAAATTAAACTATGAATTATATTTTTTAATGTTTTAAAATAAAATTTTTTTTAAAAACATAAAAATGTTGAAAAACTACTTTCATAGTTGATTTTTTCTCATATTAAGGCCTATCACTGTGATATGCCATTGATAGGAACTTTATGTTGTCGCTGGCAGGACCATGAATGTTCAATTGTTAGCGTTAAAATAAAAAGTGCTCTCAGAAGGCATATTTGGCCTCTGTATTATTACAAGGTTAGACGTGGGCCGCCAACATTTTTGAGATTTTCAAGTTGGGCATGAGGTGGAAATGGCTGGGAACCACTGGCGTAGTGGTTTAAACTACCTCCCAACACTCGTGACCCAGCGACGGGACTATATCACACTTCTCTTTATCTCCCTGTCCACTTCTCTCTGCTCCCTCAGCAACATAACGCTACAGTGTCTCAGTCAGGCTGGTGGAAATGTGATTTGCTGAACCGGCAGTATAGTGATCTGTGTGTATTTTCCGACAGCTGGTTCCAAATAGCTTGCACTTACTATAAAAAGTATCAGCCCTATCTACATGGCAATGAATGGAGGGTGGCTACAACTTCAGGGATCATTTATCAGTGATTAATGGGCTTAAAACTTATCTGGATCCTTTTAAAACAAAGGGCTTCATAACCAAAAATACCCACAGAAATCTACAGCTTTGAGTTGCAGTAACAGACAGACAGTATTTGATTAGTGAGGATCTCAACAAAAGCCTCTTGTTGCCTCACTTGTTAATGCTGTGCTCTGATAAAACCAGCAGCATGCGGCAGGAAATAGAATCATTTATGAAAGCAGAGACAAACACACACCAAATCAATTTGAATATTTTTAGAGGATCTCTCTTTCTTCTGTTTGTCTAATGGGTGGAAGTAGAAATTTTGTCCATTTAATGTCCCAGAACTGCTGCAACTAGACAAGGTTATTGAATTACAACCAGTTATCTAGTTGTGTAACACAGAGCAGAATATGCTGACATGCTGTAATACTGTTGCTTTACTGTCTTTTCCAAACCCACTTCTGAAACTTGCCATGTGCTGTGGTAAAAAAAAAAAAAAACACGGAACATGGATATGACAAAGTGATACATACATGGAGGGGGTTTATATTAGATTCTGTCATAGCTGTGCTGTATAGTTTATGCAGTTCACTAATTTCTTCTAGTTGTGGTGATCTGGAAGAAGAAAGATCACATCTGTGACAGTGTGAAATGGAAATGAAGAAATAAACAGTCAATTGTCCTTGCTAAACAGTCACTGAACTGTGTGGTTGTTTTCAGTGGGGATTCTGATTCTGCTTATCATGCCATTGTTTGACAGAAAACCATGCAGGCCTCACTTACATGGTGAGAACTTTTAACATGTGGCAGTTAAGCTTTTAAAGCAGCAAGCAAGACAGACTAGGAAGCCAGGCTGAATGCAATGCTTCTTATAGAAGGGGGTTACCTTGCGCTGTCAGATGTTCAAGACTTGAGAGATTACTGAGTTAAAGTGGTGCTTTGTTTTCGCACACAACACCGACGTCTGAGCTCCTTTCCCAGCACTCCTTTCCCTCTCCTGGCAGGCAGACTAAGAGGACGAGTGTCTCTGCTCCCCAGTGTATATAGAGCACTGCGCAGGGAGAGCCCAACTGGGTGTCAGGTGACTCCACCAAGGAAAGTTCTGGGCCCATGTTTCTCCACATTGACTAGATTTTCCTGAAAGAAAGCTTGTTGTTATTGCCTCTGTGGCCGTCTGCTAGTTGAGCAAAACAACAGCAAAAAAGTAAAATTAAAAATGCCAAATGATGCAGCGTTGATTTGACATCTAAACCAAACATGTTTGCATTATTATGTGAGCTTATCTGTAAAAAAAAAAAAAGGTTCCTAAATATGGATAATGTTCACATGCTCTATTGCCCATTTAACAGTACACCGTGTTACAGTGAACTTTTTTGGTTTTGTATGTTTTTGAGATGGTGTTTTTCTGAGGAAACTTCATTCTTTTGCATTTTTACTTTTCATCTACAATGTCTTGCTTTTTTATTCAAATTTGCCTTTCAGCTGCAGGTGACCAACCAGTGAAAATGAGCATCTGTCATTAAAAGTTCAAACAAAACTTTAAGTTATTAGGGTGAATGCTGACCTCCTGTATTATGTAAGGTATACAAGAAAACTGAACAAGAACATTACCAACACCACATAAAAAATAATTTCCTGTAGTTTTGTTGAGGTATGATTTTTAGGTTATTTATATTATGTGTGTGTTTCATTTTCTATCTAAGAGAGCTGAGCATTAAGTTGTCCTTCCTCTTACAGCACTTTCAAAAGCAGAGTTCAAAAGCTGGATGTCTATTCCTGTTACAGAGGACTCATGGGCCATCAGGCATTAAATATAACTGCAGTTTCTCACAGACGCCACCTGTTGCGACACACCAGACCTAGCCATGCATGTACTCACACACACCTGTAGTTGTTTTCTTCTAGGAGTTGAATATTGCATAACCCGGAAGAACAAATTGCACAAAGCTGTGATTCTGAGGTAATAAGATCTTAAGCCTAAGCTTTTCAAATTCATGGCAGTTCAGGAGAGCAACCAAAACGACTGACAGAATGTGTTGATCAGCTCTCACACAATAAATACTGTACATTTACAATAAACAAGAACAAATCAGATTTAAGGTAAGCAGCCTTCAGAACAACAGTGTGTTTCCCTCTGAAATAAAAACTAAGACAAAGAATATGTGCCATCAAAACTCCAAATAGGGATTATATGTCCCTTGTTACATATTACAGTTTCATAAAAGTCCTTAACATCAGGTATTTAAATAGTAGCTATCACTTTAAAACAAATAAACTACGGAGTTGATAAAGAAAGTCCTCTTCTTTGCTTTTGTGTGCTCTGCAGCGTCCAGTCATATAGTCCCACGCACAGCGTTTGCAGTAGTTGTAGAAATGGTGCTCCGCTTTCTTCAGCGTGCTATTCAGGTCCAGTTTTCCCTGAAGGCTGCACGAAAAGGCAAAACACGTTGACACAGATTCGACAAACGCACTATCGCTTTTTTTTTGTGATTTTCGAGTCTTAGCAAACAGACAAACCTGCTAGTAAACTGGATGAGCTGCACATCATCTTGACACAGCAGCAGAGACTCTCTGTTCTCCAACAGGATGGCTGCACAGATGAAGAGCTCAAAGGTGAAGTCAGTATTGACGGCTTGCAGCGCTGACTCTGAATTGTCCTCTAAAAACATCACAAAGCAAAGACATTCGCTACGTTAATGTCAGACATTTAAAAGGGAACTATCCCTCATTCTGCCAGGTCAAGTTCTGGGTTTCACCTGTGCTGTGTTTTCGTGCCAGCCTTTCCTGATACCTGGCTCGGTCTACTTGCTGGGAGATCAGCTCCAGGTGGTCACAGCTCAGGATCTCAAACAAACGTAGTGCGTCACTGTGTTCAAACTCCCTCTGGAAACCCAGCAGCAGCCACCTCAAAGAAGGGGCAACAAGTGCATGAACGTAAAGAAAAATGTGCATGTCCATATTCAGATACAGAGAATATAAATAGAGAGTGTTATCAGAGATCTACCTGTGGCAGAAGGTGAAGCTCTCCATGCTGTCTGTGACCAAGTGAGCGTAGAGATTTGGGTCCAGTTCCTTCAGCAGGGCTGCCTCCAACTCTAAAAGACATTAAATACAACTCTTTCATATGCTTTTACTTAACAAACCTATGGACTGTAATTTATATATGCTATTTTATTTATTTGTTCTTTTTTTGTCTGAATGCTTCATCTAGCACCAAAACTCTTCTGTATGCAAAAATAAAGATTTATAATTATGTATCAGATTTCAGATTTCTGAATAAACTATTCAGTCGAATACACAGCATTAAAAAAACAAAAGGATATATGCACAGACTTAAATTATTATTTTGGATATAAGTTTTCAATGTCTTTGTTTTACCACTAAAGGACTGTCATACAACTTAATTATTACTATAAAGACACTACTGCTACAACACACACACACACACACACACACACACACACACACACACACACACACACACTTCTAATACAACACCACATACATCAGTATAACTGCTTCAAATATCATATGTACCTTTGCCTAACTGATAGATATTAGATTTATGCACTTGTCTTCTCTGTCATCCTACGTGTATGCTTGCCTTTTTTTTTTGTTTTTTTTTTTTTGGCTTGTCATACTATTTCACCATTATGCCATATGTTAACTACCTACACCTACTCTAAACTTTGTCACCTCGTATGCTCGTCATTTTCTTTGTTGTTTGTTGACACACTATTCCACCAATATATATATAAAAAAATAAACATAACATTTATTATACACAAAGTTGTATTCCTTTTTGGTAACCTCACCTATTTTTCTGTGCAGACCATCGGCCCTGAAGTCCTTGGAGAATTTCTCCATGTAGCAGGAGAAACTCCAGAAAGTGTCGACCTCAGAGTCAAGAACCTCCAGGAAACGGCTGCACAGGTCGTTCATTCCCTGGGCATAACTGACCTCTGGATTAACAATCAAGAAAAGTGGTGCACAAACAAACAGGTAGTGACTCTAACGGCGCAACAAACATGCCTGTCTGATCATGTCAGTGTCAATAAACCTGAGATTGGTTCTTTGTTGATGTTTACCTGGATGAAAAGCAGCATATGTGATTAGGATATCTCTCAACACCAACAGGTTACCTGAACCTTCGCCCCTGCAGACAGACAAGTGAGCAGCATAATTTCAACACTACAGACACATATTTGATGTGCACTATATAGATATGACAGCTTCGTTGCTCAAAATCAGCCCCTATAAGTATGAAAATAATCCACAGAGAATACATGTATTGATGTTAGTTGCTCCCTTTTATTTACAGCGCAGGAAACAATGAAATTATACTTTCTTTTTACATTAGGAAAATAATTTGAATTCATTTCAACACTAAATTACTATAATTAGTTAAATGGTTTCTATTCTTTAATATACTTCCAGTACGTAGTTATTAGTGGTACAAATTTTGTTAACTCAAACTTTAGCTCACCATTATTTATTTTTACTTAACATTTCTATTTCAGTATTGCACCAACAGGTGTGTATTTAGGAGGGGCAGCTGGTTCTGGAGCCCTGAGGGGCAGGTGACAACATACTGTATCTTGGTAACTCCAAATCAAGTTTGGTCTGTTTTTTTCCTGTGATTATGTGAATTCAGAACACACAATATCAATTCATATTTTTCAAAGTGACCCCCAGCTTACTAGACTTAATTCATCTTGTAATAAAAGAACAAAAATCTTCCTGTTAACAGGTAGGTAATACTGATATCCTGTAAACAGCTGGCTAGTCATTCAAAACATCAAACAGAAATGAACTTCAATAGAAGATTTAAATAATTTAAAAGTTGTAAGGCGCCTTTTTGTGTCAGGTTAGCAGAAAGTGAATGATTCCTTTCAGCTGCTTAAAACTAGCTTCATGTTCAAAGGTCAGCAATCAAATTCAATATGTCTGTTGACACAACAAGAAACACAACAATGGCTCACAGTCACTCACTGGTAATAGCTCAGGTCTCTGTTAGTTCTCGGTGCATCCTTGTCAATGATTCGTACGGCTTCACGGAGCTCCTCCTGATCAAATGTGACCCGCTCAAATAAAATCTGATGACAGGGAAGAAATGTAGAGACAAACATATTTGACCACTAGTGATCGTGATCTTAGTGTTAACAGCTTTTGTGGAGTCCAAACATTTGACCATATTTCATATTTAACTGTATCCTTTCCTTGCACTAGAAATGGGAATAGTGGTGTATGAACCGTAATATGGTGTAAATAGTTTCTTTAAAGTGTGGTTCTGTTAAAGTTACATGGTTACATGTGGAGTGTCACTATCTGAAAGACCAAAGTGCTTAAAACGTCAGCTAGTGTAAAGAGATCAACTGATACCATATGTAAATAAATGACAAAAACTTTGTAACACATTTAGATCCTGTTGTGTAATTTACCTAAACACACACTCCTCCCTCTTTAAACAGTTAATCTCTTCTACCAAACAAAGACAATGAAAATGCACTTTATGGAGCTACAGAAATCTAAATAACAGAACAAAACAAAGCAGAAGTGTAGTGAATAGAAAAAAAACCAAACATTTGAGTATATAGATTAGACTTATACTAACAGATTTAACTGATCTAACCTGTGCCTGAAGCTCCAAGAAAGCCAGTCTGTCCCTGACCTCCTCAGACTGGTCCTGGGTCTGCTGCTGGGCCTGTGCCTGTCTCTGGTCAAAGTACCTGACAGCTGCCACCAACTCAGCTGGAATGGAGACGGACTCATATGTTCATAGACATTTGGGCAGTGACGCACTTGGGAGACACACAGTATAACTTCCTTCTGTGTGACAGAGTTTGTGTGTGTTTGTGTTTACCATCAGTGCCATTGAGGTGCATGCGCACAGCTGAGGGAAGGAACTGCTGCCACTTTCTCTTCATGACCCGGTACCGTATGACCAGCTGCTCCTGCAGCAGAGAGCGCTCTAAAGCCGTGGAGCTGCACGGGTACATCCCAAACAGGAAACGCCACACCAGGCCACGCTCAGAGGGAGACACGCCACCTTGGCAGGCATTGAAAATCTTTTGATTATTTATGGTTGATTTATATAAGTGATTCTGCAGTGTCCTCTTGAGCCAAGACTTTAGACATGTATTTGAGCAATTATCATTCAGTCAAAACAAACCCTGAATGGATGACATGGAGGATGTGAACATAGCTGAGGAAAGAGAGAATCTGTAGGAAACAATCCCTGATCCAAATTTTGGTCAACTTTACCCTGCTTTCAGAAGAATTTGATTTGAGATGTCTTGAGACATAATGTTTTGCTAGGCGGGTCCTTTAATCTGTGGTTGCCGTGTTTGTAGGGCTGGAATGTGCATAAAGGTCAGAAGGCCACAGAGAAAGAGGGCGAGTTTTCACATTCCTGCTCGTAGATGATAGACTCCTTGTGATGTTTTACTCCAGTGAGGGCACTTCTGTATAGATATTATTGTCTTGTGCCTGAGTGCTGCTGAAACCTTGAGGATGTCCAGCAAGAAATTTAAGAAATAGCCAATTAGCATAACAAGATATTTCCAGAACCAATTGAGTGACAGTCTAAAGATGTGTTTCGACACACATTTATGCACTGGAGCCACTAATCCAGAGGTATCGTCATTTCTTAGTTTCGCACACTTCACTGAATATTTGTCTGACTGTTGAATCTCATGTGATTTTATTTGGCTCCTCAGGAATATCACCAACTCTATTGATGGTATCTGTTGTTTTATCTCAGGAGTCATGCTGGCGTTCTGTGCTCGAGGGGGTCTGATCTGATGCACAATGAAATGTTAGATTTTAGAGAATGGTTTGGCTGTGGCTCTGCTAATGTCCTGAAGCAAAGCATCACTTGACTTACTCTTGGTCTGCAGGCATAGTTACAATTCATTGATGCATCTGGACACGTGAGTGACCGAGTTCAATAATTTACTGCACAGCAAAATAGTGCTTAAGTGGGGCACTGTTATATTTTTTTAGACACTAAAACCACATATTTTAATGAACAGGATTTTATGAAAAGTTAGAAATTTATTGAGTGAGACAAATTTTTATAAATGCAGAATAAGATCAATATTTGTAATCCTATCAACCTTTTTTGTCTCATTCAGAATAATATTAGGCCTCAATAAAAAAGTGATTAGTGTGATAAACCATGGGCTATATATCATTATAAATCCTACTGTTGAATAGGCTGTGCTCCATACTGCAATAATACAGTATAATCTTTCAAACATGAATTTCACTGGATTAGCAAAGATTTTATGCATTATAGGATTATGTAAGATTCCTGCTTGACCTGCTGTGTCCTCAGAATAATTTGTTTCTACTGTATTAAGTTAAAGGTGAAAGTGAGCCTCTAACAAATGCCTCGTGTAAAACACTTCTTGCATATATTAGGCTCAATTGCCAGCAATCATTTAAGGTGCAGGTGCAATAAATGCGATGATCAATATCTGCATTTTCACAGTGCGGGATAATTCATATAGATGGCTGAATATAGGCCTATGTGTATGTAATTGAATCCTTTATGCATGTCCATGGATAGATAAATAGATAGATCTACCGTTTTTGAATATATGCATCCTCAGTCTTGACTCGTCGACCCTGCCCTCAGCATCCATGATCCCAGGTAAGGTGAGGCGTGCGCCGGACAGAACAGGAGAGCTGACCGCCGCTACCCTCCTCTGGGAGCGGACATCTGGTCGGTGACTGTCCGATGAGCTCGTCTCTTCTCCCGCTGCCTGCCGTGGGCTCCCATTGTTCAGGTTGTCCATGTGTGTCTGACAGCGTTAACGCCACGCACAGGTAAAGGAGAGCTGCATCCACAGAGACTCAACAGGCAACAAACTGTCATCGTCCCGTGGCGCCACCGCTCCTTAAACAACGCGTCTTTTCCCGACCCCCATCTCCCAAACCAGCCAGGACTGATTCCTTCCAACAGCTTCGAGTCCGTCAAGATAACAAAACTTGTTGAGTCGGTTTTAGAAGACCAGTTGCAGCTTTGTTGATTCTCATTCAGCCATCTGGGAGTCATATGACTGTACCTTGAGATCCGAGTTTGGCCCACATTCCAGGTGGAGTCCGGAGTTCAGTGCCAAAGTTCACTCTGGATTTGAGAGCGTCTCTGACTCCACCCAGCGGTGTAACAGTTTCTCACAGCAGCAGCTGATATCCCATCAAGCGCCCCACGGGTCAGACTGAGTACCCAAACAAATCCACAGGACCGCATTTTTCATCACTTATACGTGGATATTTAACTTGACAGTAAAAATAAATACAAATCTCACTTATGGTGAAATTATTTTTTAAATTAAGTTTAATTAGAGAAAATGTTATTGTTGGACATGTTAAATAGGGGTGTCCTTGAATGTTGTTTGTATTTCCCTTGGAATTAAATGTGGAAACTTACAAAGTTTGCTTCGGAGAAACCAAATAAGAAACCCAGGGATAGTGGCTTATCAATTTCTTAATGTCATGCCTCGCCTGTTCTGTTTCCTGTTTTATTTTGGTGTCTAACTCTCCTCTCGTTTCAGATGCACTTCCTGCCCCTTGTGTGTTGCCCACCTTTGTGATTGCCTGCCCCGCCCTGATGTGTTTCACCTGTGCCACATTTTCCCCGCTTCCCTTGTGTATTTAGTCCCTGTGCTCTCTGCTCCCTTTGCCAGTTCGTCTTTGCCTATTGTTGCGAGCGTTCCAGCCCGTATCCTTTAGTTTTTGTCTCCTAGTATTGTTCGACCCTTTTTCTGAACTTTACTCTGCCTCAGCCCAGACCTTTTTGATCTGGTTGCCTTTTCTGACTGACTCCCGTGTACTGAACCGGATTTTATTAAAAGACCTGATTTTTTGGGAACTCGACTGTGTTGGAGTTGTGCCTTTGGGTCTATTCCTGGTGTTTCTGAAACTCTGTCACTTAAATGATTTCATTAATTAATTGTGAGGTACCAGGGGGAACATAATATGGGGAATAATAAAGCACATGGACTAAATAATTAATTTAGTGCCCATGGCCAAGCAATTCAGTCAAGGTCCAATGATTCAATTTGTCATGTGTTGTAGATTTCACAAACCTTAGAGGCACATTTCTGATTTTTTGTGGAGCTGTAAAATTGACATGACTTGACTAAGTTCCTGACCTGATCTGCTCACATTTTCAAAGTCTAAATTCTAACAGTTGAAAGGGTAATTGATCGCTGTAATTGTTCCTCCTGTCTATACTGCCTGCCAGGTTTTCTCTTCCTACTGCAATTTATTTTTTAGAATAAAATTCCATCCTTTACAACTTTGATCTGTTTCACTCAGTCTGCTGAAACCTCATATAAGTTCCACCTTAGAATGTCTTAAGACAAAAGGAGGACTGTGGATTTTGAACCTATCCCTTAATTTGGATACAAATTTGATGACACTTGATTAACCCATAATTTCAATGCACATACTTGAAATTATTGTGGAGCAGTTATGACATCAACAAAAGGTTCATTGTCAATGCTGAATAAATTTGTTACAGTACATATGGTAGCTGGCAGCACTGACGAGCCTTTTGCTGAACCACTGTGCATTACTCTCAGGTCACAACACATTTATCCTGGATGTTACCAAATTTGTTCACTTCCTCCCCCACATCTGGAGGAGGAAGTTTACTCAAAGGGTCAGAGGTTAAAGTTCAGTTGCATACATTAGAGTTGCCATCACCACTTCTCATTAAAACAGAAACAACTAATAAGGGGGTGCAACTGAAGGCCGTCACACTACATGTAGTGACTGAAAGATAAAACGTCTGCTTCACAGACAATACAATGATCTGAGTAGACAGTTCATTTATTGACTTAAATGTCACAATACAAAGATATAGAATAACTTTAAAATATCAAATATCAACATTAGGTCCAAACAATATTGCAGATACAGTACAAACTCTATCAAGATACTGATTTAATTACTGACAAACATGGGTATATTCCAACATTTTGTGGCAAGTATGCAACATAACAAAGATTCTCTTGTTTGTACCTATAAACACTGAACAGTTGAGTTGAGCTTAAATGTGTCTTACACCGTATGTCACACAAGCACAAGTGCTGTTCGTGTGTGCAGCAGCATTTCTATCTGTGTTACACATATTAGGCTAGACAAATGTGTTACAATTAACTTGCAAAGACACCTTCCATTAGAGCGTTTATTTGCAAAGACTTCCTCCATATCTTCATCACACTTCTGAAGTGTTAAAAAAGGGCTACGCTTCAATATTCTTGATGCACATTGGTGTAACATTTTCCCTCAAACTCAATAAGCAAGTTATACAGTAGTCAGAGTTCACTTTTCTGTCATAACTTCCTTTTTTTTTTGCAATTCATTACTTCTGAGTAACAGGAAACACACCCAAAAATTTCACATCAGTGCTAAGATCTAGTACAATTTGACAAAACACAGCAAAGCAGTAAAACCTCTTCTGGGTCCCTCTTACAGTGAGTATTTACTTTATGCTGTAAAAGGCAGATTGCAGGCAATTTAACTCTAAGACTTGGCTGTATATGGTTGACCATATGTGATAGATAACTGCTGTACAACTAAATTATCTGCAGGATTTCAGGATTAATCTCAGAATGTTTTTCCTGGATCAGATGAAGCTGCTGGGTCTGATTAGTCTCATATCTATCCCGGCCTCTTCAGGTGGGTGACATGTTGTGTTTAAGTTTAGAATTTTATGAAGTATTATGTTTATATATATATATATATATGTATCAAATTTGATAATAAAATACTAATATAAATTCTGGTGTGGTTTTGTTTTCAATACAGGTCAAACCTGGAACATTACTGTCCAGCAACGCATTAATGCAACATTGGACTCAACTGTGACCATACCATGTCATTTCAGCAATCCGAAAGAATATGACACTGATGATGTTAAGGTTTATTGGAAAACCTTTGGGAAAACTATTGAAATCAATGACAAGGACAACAGGGCTTTTGTTTACCACCCAAATGAGACATTTATGCTTGAGAATTACAGAGGAAGGACCACGCTCATCGGTGATATAAAGAAGAAAAACTGCTCCCTTCAGATCCTAGGATTCAAACTTGATGATGAACGAAAGATCTATATGAGACTTAGCATAAAGCAAAATTATAGTTTCATTAACCACCCTGTCAACATTTATGGGTCTGGTAATAATTTCCGTAAAATATTTGGAATATGATTTAAATTATATTTATTGAGTAAAGGGGTGTTAAATTAATATTTCATGTTTCTTCCACAGGGCCAGGTGTTACCCAAGCCGCTAATGACCAAGGTAGAACATTTAAGTTTTTATGATCTTATTTACATTTATAAAATTTGTGTCTGTACTCCTCAATGTGTTAATATGCTATAAATTAGTACTTTCAAAATGTTATAGCAAATAGGTATCATGGGGAAAAATGTAATCCTAATGAAAACTCTCACAAATTATTTATTTTTTGTAGCTGTTACAAGTCTGCCATTTATCAACTCTCTACCCACAAGCAGTAAGTTTACATGTTAACACTGACTGTTTCAAACTAATATTTAAACACCACAATTTGTAATTCAGTTTCCTTTACTGAAGAGATCGCTGTTCGCAGCAATTTTCTCCACAGTGAGCACGACCCTGGGGAATTCACAGATGTATGTGGCCATCTTCATACCAGTTTCTGTACTTCTGGTCATTATTGTTATTGCTGGAATTTTCGGTTGCATAAAACACAAAAGGTAATTTCCCTTTTAGATCATTTGTAAATTTAACATGGCTTGCAAGTAAGCTAAATTATTTATTGTTTAATGACTGATCCTGGTGTTATCCTTACATAAACCATGTGCAGATCATTTAAAATCCACTCATGAAATCTGATAGTTTCTTTGCTTGGATATTTGAACTTCACTGTGCAGAATGGTCAATATCTGGTCAGTGTCTTTGCTTATATTCATAATCACTTGAAGTAATTTGCCATCAACAATCTTTTTTTTTTACAGGTCAAAGTCTTTCACCAGGGAAGAATCTGGATATTATGCAAATTTTAGCAGAGCATCATCAAACCAAGCCCAAAGGTTTGTAGAATGGTTAAAAGAGGAATGTTATTTTTCATCACTGTGTATGTGTGTAAGCAATATAAAAACTAGACACATGAAAATTAAAGATGTTTGTGGAGACTTTTGACTACATGTGAATAGACACCCTGTTAATAACACATTTCCGATCTCGTGTTTGTCAAATTGGAAACTAAACAAGTTTATTTTGTCTTTTTAGCGAAGCATCTTGCAAAAACCATGAAAAAAAGAAACTCTCTGAACTAAAGGCCATCGACGAACCTGTGTACATCAATACTGAGGTACAATAACCCCAATCATTTTTGTTTTAATACAAGAAGACAGTAGCTAAGACAAAAAAAACACTGACTCTTTTAAAGCTAACCTTGCTGTAACCCCACTCCTGTCTTTGCAGGCCCTCACAGGTCAGATGGATCAAAGTATGGATCACATAGACAATGTATATGCAAATGTGGATTATACAAAATAGCACAAAAGATGCATCTAACAAATCTATTTTGACTTAAACTTAGTCTTAAATGTAGTCTTTTTTCCTGCAAACATGTGGTATGGGTGGCAACAGCATTATGTTATCACAAGAAAGAAAGGATGCAAAGCATCTGCAAAGAGATTTTACGGATATATCATAAAAACTGCATCATTGTAGAACAACGGAGAGCAGTTACAATTATTATTTATTTATTGACTCATGGTTGCAGAATTATGAGAAGACAGCCAGGTAAAGCTGTAATATTTTTTAGAGATGTTTCAGACAAAAATATTGCCTGTTATCAGTTATGATAGTGTTTCTTTACCAGCACCGTAAAGACCAAGCTTTTTTTTTTCCTTTCAAATGTCAGTTGACACCATACCATTTCTCTACTGATTGATCCCCAGCCCTCCCCTTAACCCAAACCAAAACAACATTAAATGACAAACAAAAAATCTTAAGATATGTAGAAAGGACATGAAATAGCCAGGAAAGGGGCATGCTGCAAAATACAAAATCCCATGAA